ATCATAATAATTCTATATAAATTCTTTCAGACTATGTAAAAAGAGGGAATACTTCTCTATTCTTTTGTGGGGGCAATTTTAAATTATTCTAATACTAAAAGAGAAAGACATTACAGGAAAATTACACCAGTATCCCTTTTGAACACAGAGCAGATGTCTTCCACAAAATTTAGGGAATCAGTCTTACATTATATAAAAATAATTATATACATTATGTAATTTATCTCAGCAATATATCACAGTGTTGAAAAAAAATCAATGTAATTCACCATAAAATTAAACAAAACCATATGATCATCTCAATAAATGCAGTTAAAGACTTTACAAAATTTGTCACCCATTCTGATAACTAAAACAAAAAGAAAAGGGAACTTCTTCAACTTGATAGAAGGAATCTACAATAACTTACAGTTAAGATAGTACTTAAAATTAAAAAACTGAAAGCTTTTGCTCTAAACTTGAGCATATCACCATAGATAATTCCTAACTGTATAGGTAACCAATGCAATAATGCAATTTTTTTTAAAAGTATAAAAATTGTAAAAGAAAAGAATCTCATTTGCAGATGACAGAATCTCAAAAAATGCTATTAGAACTATTTAATGAATTAGCAGAATATAAGGTCTAAATATAAAAACCAATTGTATTTTTGTACCAGTAGTGAATAATTTAAAATTTAAAATATCATTTGTAATAGTAACCAAATATATAGTAATCTAGGTTACATTTATCAAAATATATGCAAACCTGGATACTGAAAATCCCTAATCTGCTAAAAATCAAAACCAAATAGAGATATCCATGTTCATGGATTGAAAGTATTGTCAGGTAATTATTGACAGATTATTATTATCCGTTCTCTGAAAATTTGATCTGTTAATTTAATTGAATCCTAATCAAAATGCCAATAGACGTTAAGAATTAAAAATCTGATTTTCAAATTTATTTGGAAATATAAACAACAAACTTAGAACAGCCAAAACAATTTTGAAAAGGAAGAACAAAGTTGAAGGAATTTTATCATCTGATTCAAAACTCATTGTAAAGGTGTAGTAACCAGAACAACCTGGTATTGTCATAAAGGTGGACATATCAGTCATAAATCAGCAGAGAGTCTAGAAATAGACCCCGGTGTATGTGGTCAATTGATTGTTGCCAGAATTACCAAGATACCTCAGAGGGGAAAAGGATAATCTTTTTCAACAAATTTTGCTGAAACAATCCAATATACAGTATTGTAAACTATGACCATATCATATTCAGAAATTAAATAGAAATGGATCAATGACTTAAAAAAAGTAAGAGCTAAATTCTACATATATAACTTGTAGAATAAGCAAGATAAGCTTGCTGACCTTGAGTTATGAATAGATTTCTCAGGATACAAAAGTATGAACCATAAACAAAAAGGGGGTTAAATTGGGCTTTGTGAAAATTTGAAACATTGCTGAGAAAATGAAAAGATAAAATTATAAGTTGAGAGGAAATATTTGCAACACATCGATAAAATGTATTTAGAAAACCTTAAGAACTCTCAAAACTCAATGATGTGAAACAACCTTGTGAAAATGAAACAACCTTGTGAAAATGGGCAAAAGGGTTGAACTCAAGTAACCAAAGAGATACAGATAGGAACTAAGCACGTGTGGTGATGTGCTCAGTAAAGATATGCTCAGCACGGCGTGTGTGCTCGGCCGCTCAGTCGCGTCCAACTCTGCGACCCCATGGACTGTAGCCCACCAGGCTCTCTGTCCATGGGATTCTCCTGGTAAGAATACTGGGATGGATTGCCACTTGCTCCTCTGGGGGATCTTCCGGACCCAGGGATATTCCCTGTGACCTAGGTATCAAACCCGCATCTCCTGTGTCTCCTACATTGCAGGTGGATTCTTTATAGCAGAGCCACGGGGGCAGCCTGCTTAGTGATGCTGTTATTAGTTTGAAAACAGTACGGAGATACCATTCCATACCTATTAGAATGCAAAGGATGAAAAGTGACAATGCTAAGTGCTGACAAGTGTGTTAAATAATAGGAACTCATTTGAGAGTGAGAACTGGCACAGCCATTTTAGGAAGCTGTTTGGCAGTTATTTAAGAACTTAAGCATATACTTAGCATATAATATAGAAGTTGCACTTGTGGATATTTACTCAAGAGAAATGAAAACATAACATGCAAAGCTAGAAATAACTCAAATGTCCATTAATTGGTATATGGAGAAATGAAATGTAATATCATTCCATAAAATGAAAATACTGCTGAGCAGTAAGTGGAATGTTATTATAAATGCAACGACATGAATGAATCTCAAAGCTTTATGCTGAGTGAAGGATGCCAGAAACAAAAAACTATCTTCTGTATGATTCCATCTATATGAAATTCTAGACAAGACAAACTGTAGTGAAAGGAAACAGATCGGTGGTTGAGTGGGACCCGGACCTGGAGGGTAGGGACTGATTTTGTAAAGGAACGCGTAGGGTACTAGAAATGTTTAATATCTTGATAGTAGTGTTATCATGTGGTGTCATGGCTGTATATGTTTGTTAAAATTCATTTAAGTATACACTTACAGCCGGTGATTATTATTGTAATTCATATAATTTGGTATGTCTCAATAATACTGATTTTTAAAAACAAACTAAAGCAAAAAAATGATGCAGAGATGGTAAAGATAAACGGATGGTTAAAGATAAATAGAACATGAACAAATATATTTGAGAGATTTCAAAATTCAGTGATAGTCCATGAAATGTGAAATTCCATGAAGTAGACTTTTTAAATTATAGTATGACAAAACTAGAACAACAAAAATTTTACATTTATAAATTACTTGGTCATGTAAAATCTGTCTCGTGAAGCGATTAGCAAGAAAAAGGAAATACAAATCACAAAAACAGGAATTTAAAAAGTAATGAAACTATCGTCGCAATAGAATTGTGGAATTCTACCAAAGATACTCTAAGGAGTGTATTTAAAATGATGTTATTAGTACAAAGGTTGACAGATCAGTGGAAGAGAGTAAATAAACCTCTTACGAGCTTCATCTGATGAGCTTCCCCAGGGTTTCGTTTTCAAAATCCTTTTTTCTAGACTATAATTCTTTCTCCTGTTTCTAATTTTTGGTTATCTTTTCCCATTTATTAGTGTGCTCACAGTTTACATTGATTGCCACTACGTTTCTGGTACTGAGAAAACAGAAAAGTTAGCATTTGCTCTGTATTGATGTAATGGAAATTCAAGGTTATTAAGTATGACTGTCTTCAGAGAAAGAAGACAAAAGTAAGTTTCTGAACAGATTATCATTGATTTTCCTTGTGTGAGGCAATCCAGGATTGAACTTTGGGTTTTCTTTTTTAAGTAATTTCTGAATTTTTTTCTATTTTAAAATTTTCTGTTTTTTTTTTTTTTTTTTTACTGTTTTATGGATATGTTGCTTCTAGAAACAGAACATGTGAAAATAAACCTTTAAGAAGATATTTTTATTAAATTTGATTAGGAAAGATTTTTGGAGGATATGGCTTCAGAATTTACCCTTAAGGAATAGGTAAAATTTGGAAATATATTTTAGGTGAGCAGAAGAGTCTTAAAGATGATAAAATATTGGCTATGTGGTGGGATACATTTTTCCATCTTTTCACATATATTAGACATTCTAACTACTTTGAAACATGCGGGTTTTCAATAATTGAACTTCAGTCATTTCTGGGAAAATTCTTTGACTTCAATCTTTTATCACCATGGTTCTACCCATTCTGTTTTTTGAATGCATCTCTTCAGCTTTTATTTATGTCACTCAAAATTTTAGTTCTAACATCTGCAGTTGTTTTTCATCTCATATCTTTTTGAATTTCTTAATATTAATTCTGCTTATTTTAAATTATTTTGTTTATGCTGTTTGTTGTTCTTCCCTGTTAATTTTCTCTTTTATTGGATTTGGTGAACTCCTCCTTGATTCTGCTACTGTCCCTCAGTGTTAGTTTTCAGTTGTTAGTCATCTTTGTATTTGAGAATTTTTCTCCTGCCTGTTGGTGGTTTTCAACATAGTCTGCTTCCGCTATTGGTGAGGGTTGTACCTGCCTGAGACGTGAAGCCATGTCTACACGTTCCGCTGTTTTGTTCTCTGGGTGAAAGTCACCATGTAACGCAACTGGAGGAGGGGAACGGAGCTGCCCTCCCGACCCCTCAGCTGGTCATCCTCAGGCTTATCCCTTCTTTTCCTATTCCTTGCCTGAGCTTATGGCTTCCCCAGAACCAGCCTTTTCTCTGCAGAAGTCGTTTCCTATAGGCTGTGGTTTTCTCTGGTAGTTTCTTAATGGATTTCTTAATGGATCTAATCCTGCCTGTTTTTCATCCTTGGGGAATTTCTCAAAATATTTATTTTATTACTAGTAACATTCCTTTTTGATTTCTAGCATTATTTTCTGTTTATTTCTTATTTTAAATAATTTTGAATGGGAAAGTTATTAATACAAGTACGTGCTTAGTCTGTCATTTGATTTAACTTGATGATATTTAATACTTAGCAGCCTTTTCAGTGATATGTTTGGACTAATTGCAGAGTAATCCTAGAGCTATAAACCTTTGGTTTTTGAATTAACTTATGAAGCAAGATAAATGACCTGTGTGGGTTTTCTGTTAGAGTACATGGAATGCTTTCTAGCAATTTCACTGATATCTCTTAATTAGGTTAGAGTATGGATCGTTTTTCCAGAGGAAAGTAGCGTTTGAGATTTGAGCAGTTAATTCACTTTAAAAAAGTCATTAACATGTTCCCATGTTAGTTAACTCATTCGATCTGAATTTATTCTCAAGATTGCTGTTCTAAGACTGAGAGAATAAGCAGGAAAATGCCCACCGCAGGCCCTAGAATGTGTCACAGTCCTGGAGTAAAAAGTGAAATATTCTTCGCAGTGTTGCATATTGTGAAACAGGCAACATGATTTTCTCTTTCAGAACTAAACTGTGCTTAGCTGACTCTCTGTTATTATGTCGTCTTCTAGCTTGATGCTGTTACAAGCAATCTTCAGAAAATCAGGGAAACTAAAAGTGATGATGTAACTGCTGTTAATACTAAGAACCCAGAGAAGCACATGCGAGTGACTAAAAACAAACCAAGGGATCTGCAGTCAGCAACTGAAGATCCAGAAAATGATGTTAGTGTGGAGGACACCAAGCAAGAAAAGGCAAGTAAGAAGGTTACGAAAACAGCGCTCCCGGTGACTGCACAGGAGATGGAGCCAGAAGCTCCTGAGAAGGGAGATGCAGCACCTCAGAAAACACAGACGAAGCCACAGCCTGGCGTCACTCATGACAAAAGCGAAAAGGCCAAGGAGGAAGGAGAAAAGAATAGTTTAGATGAGGAACAACTGATGCAAGTGTACCAGCTGCAAGTAGCTGAAGAAATGGCAAAGGAGATTAAGAAGAAAATCCGAAAGAAACTCAAGGAGCAGTTGTCTTACTTTCCCTTAGATTCTTCATTGCATGCTGACAAATTGAGTGGTGAAAAAAGAAAAAAGAAAAAAAAGAAAGTTCCCATCTTGTCTAAATCTGAAACAAGGTATGTTTCATTGATAAATATACAATGTCCTCTTAAAAAAACACTATTTTCAGCTTTTGAGTGATACTTGGAATTTTGTTACTAAGTCCAAGCTCATAGTGCTTGCCTCACAAGAGGCAAATAATTGAGAGAGACCAGTTGTTGGGGCAATGAATGGCAACTTTATTCAGAAAGCTAGCAAATTCAGAAGATGCTTCATGCCCCAGATAACCATCTTGCCTGATATAGAATTCAAGCTCCTTTTGAGGAGGAGGGAGTACTAAATACTAAAAGGAGAGGGAGTCAAGTCAAACACTTTCTGGTTCCCATAAGCCTCCAGAGAGGATCTGTTAATTTCTTCCTCCCTGCAGTCATTCACAGGTGGACCTGGTAAGGATGTTTCATGCGAGCTAAACAAAGGTATTTTAGCTTAATTCTCATTACTTGGGGAGCAGCGTTTCCAGAGATGGGCCATTATGTATAATTTAAGCACACAGGCAACATCCTTTTAATGATTAACTTGTAATAGAATACAAAAGGTTCTTCCTGTTATAATCCCCCCCGTTGGTGTCCATACCACAATCTTGCGGGATGAGGGACAAAGACCATTCTGTTGAATGGAAGTGACAGATTTCCTTAGACTCTTCAGTCAGTCCTTTTTGAAATCTTTAGTCAGTCCTATTTGAACCCGATGAAACCTCTCACCACTTTGTTGTCTAATTCATAATAACTTGTGGTTTTGGTTCTAGTTCCCAATACTTATATCAAATTCCTATGCTGTTTATTTGGACAAAACTGAACAATTTGGTTGCCCCTTCCCCAGCTGTGATGGAATTACCATCTACTTCTGTTGGATAGGCAGACCCGTTGGAGGCAAACCCATGAATAGTGTAGTACAGAAGTTTTAGTATAATTGGCAAATACTAGGTCTTTTAGCACTCTTAGATGCCCCTACCTGGGCAGATACCTGGACGGCCTGCTACTGCTACTGCTAAGTCACTTCAGTCGTGTCTGACTCTGTGCGACCCCATCCCTGAGATTCTCCAGGCAAGAACACTGGAGTGGGTTGCCATTTCCTTCCCCAATGCATACAAGTGAAAGTGAAGTCGCTCAGTCATGTCCGACTCTTCGCGACCCCATGGACCGCAGCCTACCAGGCTCCTCTGTCCATGACAGGCAAGAGCACTGGAGTGGGGTGCCATTGCCTTCTTCGTGGATGGCCTACCATACGGTATTTTAAAGGTGCTTCATTTAAGCCTGCTTCTGAGAGCCATTGATCCATAGCAGGGCAACTGGCAAGGCCTTATGCTAAGTTAAATGTCTCTCGACATTAGTATTTTAGCGACATTTATGGTTTTTCCTGTTGATTGTGGTCTCCAGGATGAATAGTTTTAATGCTTATCCAAATCAGGATGATTTCCCAAAGGAGCGCTTTCAGAGAGTCTCTATTCATGGAATACGCTTCTACCCACCCTGAAAAAGTGTCCACAGCAACACTATCAGGTTATCTGAGATTTCTTGCAATTGGGGTATTTAAGTGACATCTCTTTTTCAGTGCGGGGGGTGGGAGCAGCTTCCTCTGTGTTGAGTCTCCATCTGGATGACAGGAGTCTGGGATTTTTTTAAGGTCTTGGGGGAAAGAGCTCTGTGTCCTTTTCTGGGCTTTTCATGAACTGTAGATTTCCAGCATTCTGATGGTACTCTGTCAAACTTTTCTGGTGAAAAACTTGACCAGAATGAGGTCTATCAGAAAATTAATCAACTTATTCCCCACTGTCAATTTTACCTGGAGTTCCTGTGGGGAATTCAGTGCCTCAAGTCCAAGGGAACCCTTGGGCCTCTTCATTCAGAGTGTCCCTCTCTGCCACGTAAGAAGCTCTCATCTTTTGTTGTTCTTCTGTTCCAGCCTAGAGCAGTTTCTGTTTTCCAAAGTTCTTCCTCCGTACTACAGTAAGCACATCATTCCTTCCCCAGTGGGGACTTAACCTCTCATCCAGTTACTCACCTTCTGGGAATCCAGTGCGAAATGTTCATTCCAAATGTTCCATCTAATTTTTATAACTTTCTCCTGATATCTGAGGCACTTTGCCCCAAAAGGTCAAATTTGCCATTGTGATATTTTCAGGGGTCTCAGAATCTGCATCAGTATGATGTCTGTAGGTCTGATAAATCCTTTCCAAAAGTTCAGAGAGGTCTTCATTTGTTTTGCTGAATTTCCTGAATATGTTCAAACCCTTTTGCTTTGGTTTCCCTCTTCAAAGCCCTGCCGAGATGCACTAACAACTCATGCTCTGCTAACAGCCTCCCTCGCTGGGATCCTAGGTCGGTTCAGCTGTGGGTGCTCAAGTGTGCTTCATGTATAGAGGATCCTCCCTATGAGAAGGGTTGCAATCTTGGGAGGGTTGGGATCTTTCCAATTAAACAAGTCTGAGAAACCCAGCCAGCTGTTTGTTTGCATTTAAGCTCCCTACCAGATAACGGCATAAGGAAAATTACCCTGTTCCCATAGTAGCTTCTGGCCCAATCGGGTGCACTGTCTGGTCTTAAAGGGCAATATCCGAACAAGTCCCTCTCTGCCAGAAACTAACACAGGATTTTCTAACTGATCCCTGTAAGGAGGGGAAGTCCTGAACCCCAGTGTCAGAAATTGGGACTAGGTAGAAATGGGAGATGGTGGAAAGGGTGGATGTAATGGCATAGTGGCCAGATTGGCTGGGTCAGTTAAGGTTTGAGGAATTAAGGTTTGAAGCAACATATCCTCAGTTTCATTCCCTTCCTTTTTCTTCTTTTCTGATAATAGTACAGATGCTTGCACATAAAGGATTATCATTCTTCCCTAATTTTTCACAAAATACCTGTAGAGTCATTCACAGTGCTCTGTGAAATAGCAATTTATCATTAAAAGGATACCTTTTTGCTTTAGCATCAACCAACTGGGATTATAACATGCATTTGAATAGAAACCTGATTAATGCTATGACAGACAGTTTAAGACAACACTGAAATTATGAGTAATATCATTTACCAGGATATACCAGAATGTTAGGAGCTTTATATAATTTATAGAATATGAATATTAATAACATTCACCCATGTGATACAGTCTAAGAAGTGTTAAGTGTTATTTATTCAATAATGCTTCCCATGCAATTGAACATGCCAGATAAGCCCAGTTAGTTCTATAATCCTCTCTTAGATGGAGAGAAATAATTTGAGGTGTTCCAGAGACCCTCTTAAAAACTCCAAAGTTAGCCAGAGGTCAGATGAACTCCACTTAAAACTTGATCTTTTTGGAAGTTTGTTTAAAAATATCAAAAGTTCACCAATGATGATTAAAGATCTCAATGGCAAATACAGATAACTTAAAGAAACTCACAATTACCAAAAGTAGTTCAAGATTTTAGTAAAGCTTTTTATCCTCTTAGAGAAAGAAATTCAGGTTTTTACCACTTTACCTTTAAGATTTCTTAATTAAGTTCAGTCTTACCTTAAACTTGGTTTAGTTTCAAGTTATGAAAATCTGGAGAGACTATTCTAGATAGACATTTCCAAAATATTATTCCCATAGTGTTTACTCCAGACCTCTTTACTTCATTTACTTATATTTACTTAAAGCTTTGTCCCATTATTTTACTTTCTGATAAACTTTGTAACAGGAATAAGGTATTTTTGATTTCTAGTGAACCTACAGGTACAACGAAAGTATTGTACTTAATGTTGATGCCTCTAAAGACATGTCTATATAAAAACAAGTGTAAGCTAACTTTTCATACCAGATATTATTTCCATACCAAGTGTTTCCTAGATCATGTGAACCTGAAACTCATTCTGGCCAGTTCATTGTATTTGAGTATTTGTGTAAGCACTTAATTCCATTAAGCCAATTAAACAGTGCCCCTTTACAAATTAATTTTGGCAGTGCCACGCATCTGTAACACATGTGCAAACACACAAACACAGAGGCCTCATAGTTCCCATTCCAGAATTTTAGCCGTGAATCTGATAACAGCAGTGTAAGACCCAGTTGTAAAAGAGGGTAGATTCAAATTGGGTTTCTGGCAGACAGAACCAATCAAGGTCACCTGTCTACATGGTGAAACCATTTTACTAATATTTATGGAAAAGACGCTTCTGTTTCTATGTGTAGTTTTTGGTGACTTCAGGAGCCAAGTACAACTCCCTTTTCCTTGGAATATCCCACTCTTGGACAGAAACAGATTTTTTTTTCCTGTTTATTTTCCCCATTTCATATCAGTAAAAGTTTTAAGTATCACAAAACTGATTTGGCTATAAATGGAGAAGCAAAAGCACAAAAGATGAAACAAAAAACCCAAAGAACAAACAGAAAATCCTCAATAAACCCTCAAGTTTGGTCTTGGGAGTCTTACATGTACTAACAACATAATAAATGACCAAAAATGACATAATTAACATAGCAAGAATAGCAGTATGTGGTGCACAGTGTCCCAAGATGAAGATCTTTAAGAGGTACTGTGGCCACATGTTGTTACAATAAGATATCATTTTCCTTTCACCCATGGGTTCAGAGCTGTAATGGGATCCCATTCCCAAAATGCACTTCAGAGGACTTTCTTTAGGGATAGATGAAACATTCCATCTTTTCCAAGACAAACAAAACACAAACAAATGCTAACATACAAAGAAACCCACAAACCGATTCACAAATCAGGTAAAAGTCCTACAGTTTTTCCTCTCCCCGGTGGAATACCCCACAAAATAAATTGGCTTATTCTTGAGAAAAAAAGAAGCCCAAAGGTGGGGAGGAAATGCAGTTCCTGGCTGCCCACACTGGAGTGACTTGCCCTACCATATGGAGCCCATCAGCTCCCAAATGTTGGTTCCTTGCTCCGATTGCCAGGTATTGGGGCAGCCAGTGCCACTTCAGGGAATTTTGGAGGTCAGATCCTCAGGACAGGTGGTCTCGGCAGCTACAAGACTCCTGGCTGGCTTCACCAAAATTTGTTACCAAGCTTAAGCTCGTACTGCTCACTGCGCAACAGACTGATAATTGGTAGACAGGTTGTTGGGGCAAGGAATAATTTCTTTATTTGGAAAACCAGCAAACTGAGAAAACAGTTGACTCATACGCCCCAAAGAACCATCTTGCCTGAATTAGAATTCAGGCTCCTTTTATACTAAAAGGGGAGGGAGTAAAATCAAACACTTCCTTGTTCCCATCAGCCTCCAGAGGTGGTGTGTTAATTTCTTCCTCCCTGCAGTCACTCACAAATGGACCTGGTCAGGATGTTTCCATGAGCTAAACAAAGCTTAATGCTCATTGCTTTAGAAGCAGGATTCCCAGTCAGGCCATTATGTATAATTTAAGCTCACAGGCAACATCCTTTAGTGATTAACTTGTAATAGAATACAAAAGGTTCTTCCCTGTTACAGTTTCGGAAAGAAGATGTTTAGTACTCCTTTGGGACATGTGTATTCTGCATGCCCAATTGCTCAGTCATGTCCGAGTCTTTGAGACCCCGTGGACTGTAGTCTGCCAGGCTTCTCTGTCCAGGCATTTCCCAGGCAAGAATACTGGAGTGGGTTGCCATTTCCTACTCCAGATCTTCCTTTCCCCGGAATTGAATCTGCATCGCTGGCATCACATTGGAAGATGGATTTCTTATTACTGCACCACCTGGGAAGCCTCTTTTGAACACATGGGCAGTAGAATACTCACAGCTAACCTTTATGTGACCCCTTCTTGGGTGCCTAATGCTTTACAAGGAATATGTGCTTTTCCCCTTATGACAACTCTGTCAAGAATAGTAATATCATCCTATTTTGCATAATTACACTCTTTATTTAGTTATAAATACTTGTTTAGATATATAAAAATAGCATTTTCCCCTTATTTTACAAATAGTATTTATTCACTATAGAACATACAGACACAAAAAGGAAAACATAAGTAATCCAACTATCCAGAGATAATCACTGTTAGCAATTTGGTATTCCTTTAGTCTTTTTTATATACAGTGCTTATATGTATATGCTTACATATACAATGTGAGTTTCTGTGAGTAGATTCTTATTTATTATGTCTCTCCTTGGGGTAAAGAAGGTAAAAATTATCTTTTAACTACTGTAAGTTTGTTTTTTGTGATCTACATCTGGATAAACAACTTGAGATGGAAATAGTCTGATATTCTCTGATATTCAGGGTCAGTTTCCTTTAATGTCCTATTCTAAAAATAGTTCCCCTCTTATTAAAAGCTAGACAACCTGTTGTAACAAAGAGGGCAAACAGAGTTGCTAACAGGCACATGCTTTAAAAGTTACCCCAGACTTCAACAGCTCAGAACAGCAAACATATAGTCTCCCAGTTTCTTTGGCTCAGGATCTGAGTGGCTTAGTGGGTGTCTCTGACTCAGAGCCTCTCACAGGCTACAGTCAGGATGTCAGCCTGGGCTGCAGTCATCTCAAGGCTTGGCTAGGGGAGGATCTGCCAAGTGACATGCCAGTTGGAAGATCTGGATGGTCCAGTGCTAAACTCACTCATGTGGCCATTAGCAGGCTTCAGATCCTGACTGGCTTTTGGCCAAAGACATCAGGTCCTTACCGCATGAACCTCTTCACATGGGCTACTCACAACAGGGCCACTTGCTTCCCTTGAGCAAGGGCTCTGAAAGAGAAAAAGCGAGACCAAAGTCACAGTCTTTTGGGAACCCAATCATAGCAGTGGTGCCAATTACTTTTATCATGGTCTGTCTATTAGAAGTCAGTCACTTGGTCAGTCCACAGTCAAGAGAAAGGATTACACGAAGATATGAGCATTAGGGGGCTTCCCTGGTGGCTCAGTGGTGGAGTCCACCTCCCAACGCAGGAGACGCAGGTTTGATCCCCGGATCGGGAAGATCCTCTGGAGGAGGAAATGGCAACCCTCTCCAGTATTCTTGCCTGAGAAATCCGACGCACAGGGGAGCCTGGTAGGCTACAGTCCGTGGGGTCACAAAGAGTCAGACATGCCTTGGTGACTAAACAGCAGCGTTAGTATTAGGAGGCATGGATCACCGGAGGCCACCTGAAAGACTGCTTACTGCAGTACGCCATAAATCTTATTTCTTCACAGAGTTACCATATCTGTTATGAACTGTAAGTCATACTCACTCTTAGAAAGATCAGTTTATGAATTTTATTTATTTTTTTTCCATTTATTTTTATTAGTTGAAGGCTAATTACTTTACATCATTACAGTAGTTTTTGTTATACATTGAAATGAATTAGCCATGGATTTACATGTATTCCCCATCCCAGTCCCCCCTCCCACCTCCCTCTCCACCCGATCCCTCTGGGTCTTCCCAGTGCACCAGGCCCGAGCTCTTGTCTCATGTACCCAACCTGGGCTGGTTATCTGTTTCACCCTAGATAATATACATGTTTCAATGCTGTTCTCTTGAAACATCCCACCCTCGCCTTCTCCCAGAGTCCACAAGTCTGTTCTATACATCTGAGTCTCTTTTTCTGTTTTGCATATAGGGTTATCGTTACCATCTTTCTAAAGTCCATATATATGTGTTAGTATACTGTAATGGTCTTTATCTTTCTGGCTTACTTCGCTCTGTAAAATGGGCTCCAGTTTCATCCATCTCATTAGAACTGATTCAAATGAATTCTTTTTAATGGCTGAGTAATATTCCATGGTGTATATGTACCACAGCTTCCTAAAACACTCTCCGACATAAATCACAGCAGGATCCTCTATGACCCACATCCCAGAATTTCAGAAATAAAAGCAAAAATAAACAAATGGGACCTAATGAAACTTAAAAGCTTTTGCACAACAAAGGAAACTATAAGCAAGGTGAAAAGACAGCCCTCAGATTGGGAGAAAATAATAGCAAATGAAGCAACAGACAAAGGATTAATCTCAAAAATATACAAGCAACTCCTCCAGCTCAACTCCAGAAAAATAAATGACCCAATCAAAAAATGGGCCAAAGAACTCAACAGACATTTCTCCAAGGAAGACATACAGTTTATGAATTTTAAACAAAACCATGCTTTACATGACAAAGACATGCAAAGGATAACTGCTCTCTTTAAATAACAGTATTTGATGATATGATAAAATAACATGACTTTCTAGAATGACTGCTTTGAAATATTGATTTACTCTTTTTTTTTTCCTCATTTATTTTTATTAGTTGGAGGCTAATTACTTTACAATATTGTAGTGGTTTTTGCCGTACATTGACATGAATCAGCCATGGATTTACATGTGTTCCCCATCCTGATCCCCCCTACCATCTCCCTCCCCATCCCATCCCTCTGGGTCTTCCCAGTGCACCAGCCCCGAGCACTTGTCTCATGCATCCAACCTGGGCTGGTGATCTGTTTCACCCTTGATAATATACTTGTTTCAATGCTGTTCTCTTAGAACATCCCACCCTCGCCTTCTCCCAGAGTCCAAAAGTCTGTTCTGTACATCTGTGTCTCTTTCTGTCTTGCGTATATTTCTCACCCCCTTTTTGAAATATGACTAAATATATTGGAAGTCAATTTTTGATTATTAGATACAGATTTCTTTTTTACTTGGTAAGTCACAATCATTAATAAGCTGATTTCTCCTTACAACTCAGTGTGCTTCTAGGCTGCTAGCCTTTACCATTTAGTATTAATAGTTTATGTGATGCACATTTTATTTTTAATGATAGTCTTCTGAAAACATAATGGCACATAAGCCACTGGAAAACACAAGCAATTAATTTTTACCTAGAAATCAAAAGTTGGATATCTGAAGCCTCTTGAAAACAAACAAACAAGATTAGAACACTTTTTTTTTTTTGCTTTTAAATAATCTAGAGATTTGTTCATTATTCATTTACTTGGCAGTAAGTAGAGTGAGGATGATTTTATCAATCCTAAGTAAAAACAGATCCATTGATCATATCATTTTCCCCAGGAGTTTAGAGATGAGTTTATTTGACTCAAGGGTAAATTAGTACACATAATACTTAGTTTGACAGCTAACCATTTTAGTGTGTAAGAAAATATATGTATCTCCCAGCAGAAAATAATACTGATTTTAGGATTACCCTTGCCTCGATTTGCTGTTAACTTTGCTGCAGGGTAATGATAATAATGATACAATTCCAGTGGCTTGAACTTGGATTATATTTGCAGTACATCGATCATCTCTGATGACCCAGTTGAAGGTGAACAAAAGAAAGAATCTCCAGTTGAAGCAGTTACTTCAAATACTCATCAAGATGATGAAATGAGCTCAAAGGAACAAAATGTAGAAGACAACATGCAAGATGACACAAAATCCAAACTGAAAAAAAAGAAAAAGAAGGCTAAAACAGGTTTGTTATCCAAATTAAATGAAAAATGAAAATACATTTTGCCTTGGTAGAAATAACTTGATTCAGGGACTTTTAGTCCTTAAAACTAAAGAAAATCTAGTCCCAAATGGTATAATTGAAAACATAATCCAATACAGAATATTTGATACTTATGCTTAGATTTGTCTAGATTATAACATTCATTTATTTGTATCTGTGGATCTCTGTGTGACTTAGTCTTACTTGAGTCATCATTAGTAATGTTGTAGTTGCTATTGTGACACAGATTTCTTCTGTATGTTATTGCCCCTAAATAATTAAGACAGCATTGAAAACTGTAAATGGTCAACAGCCAATAAACATTGCAGATTAAGTCTGTCAAACATGCTGTCTTCACAGTTTCTCGTAATTCAGCTTCTTCCTGCCTGCTTTTTTATTTCACCTCTTGCTTTCTACATTCCTTTCTGCTCATTTCTTTTATCTTATTTTTCATTACTTATTCTTGACTTTTTTCTGCTTCTTACATTTTCGGGTTTTTTTTCTTTTCAATTTCCATTTAATTGGCCAAAAATTGGGATTAAAAAATGGGCAATTTTAGAATTTATGGTGCTTATTCATGCAGTTGATGGTGTTTTGTGGTTCCAGTAATTAATTTTTTAAAAATAAAAGTGTATGTATTGTATGTATACTACTTAGTTCATTCTCACAAACTGGACATGTCTGTAAAATCATCATCCAAATCAAGAACCAGATCATTAGCACTCAGAAGCCCCCACAAACTCCCTTCTAATTCGTTGTCCTACAGGAGTGCATACTATTTTGACATCTAACACACAGTTAACCTTCCCTGTTTTCTATTTTAAGATAAATATTTAGAATTATAAATACTATGCTCTTTGTGTGTGGCTTTTTTTGCTCCAAATTATCTTGTGTGAGATTTATACTGTTGTTGCATGCACTTGAGCTTATGCATCATCAGTCCTGTTTTTGTGCTATGTAGTTATCCATTGTATGAATATATCACAATTAATTACCTATTCTATTGATTAACGTTTGAGGTGTTGCTATTATTAAGTGATTATAAGTAAAGCTATAATGAACATTCTGGTCACATTTTTTAATGAGCATGTGTATACATTTTTTTTTGTTGTTGGACGTATTCTTAGAGTAGAGTTGCTGTGCCATAGAGTATATATGTATTTCACTTTAACAGATACTTCTTATTTTCCACACACTGGTTATCAGTATTTGAGTTTCCATTGCTCTACATCTTCACTAACATTTATATTGTCAGTATTGTAAAATTTTAGTCATTCTTATAAGTGTTTAGTGATTATTCCATTTTGACTTTGATTTGATTTCCATGGTAACTAGTGCAGTTGAGCATCTTATTCATGTTTATTGACTACTTGGATTCCTTCATGGTAAATTTGTTCAAGTCTTTTGTATGATTTTTTAAGAAATGGAATTGTCTGCCTTTTTCTAATTAAATTGTGAGAATGTTTTATATGACTAGATAACAATTTTCTCATATATATATAAGAATATATTTGCCATATATATGTATATCACAAATATCTTCTCTCTCTGGGTTTTATTATTTTTCTCCTACTGGTATGGATATCTTTTGTAAAACAAAATTTAAGAATTTTATATAGCCCAATGTATTCCATGTTTTTCCCTTTGATTTTAAGTGCTTTCTGTGATATAAGAAATCTTTCCCAAGTCCTGAAGGTGTTTCTCTATATATTATTTTCTAAAAGATTTTTGTTTCAGTTTTCACTTTTAGATTTGCAGTTTACCTGGAATTTATTTTTATGTATGGGGATAGGTAGTGGTCCAGACCCATTATTTTCTCATATATGAATATGTACTTGATCTAATACCATTTACTGAAGCAAGCATCTTTGCCCCTGCATTTCAGTGTCACTTTTATCATGAATAACGTGACTGTGTAAGTTGGTCAGTTTCACTAATCTCCATTCTTAGATGGTTTACACCAACATCACTACCATGTCTTAGATACAATAGCTTTATAATAAATATTGCTGTTAATAATGATAGTTTTATTGCTTCTTTTTTTATTCTTATGTCTTATTCCTTATTTTTACCTTGATACACTGCCTAGAAATTTGATTATAGTGTTAAATAGAAGTGGTAATAACAAATACTCTTCTCTAGCTGCCAGCCTTAGGGGAGAGCATCCATTATTTTACCACTGAGTGTGACTTTGCTATAGACTTTTTTGTAAATACCCCTATTGGATTATTCCTAATTGGCTAATAGTTTTTATTTTCCTTTTAACCATAACCATTCATAGATACTGAATTTTATCAAATGCCTTTTCTGCATCTTCTAACATAATCATATTAATTTTTACCCTTTTTTCTATTAATGTGATTGTTATTTGATTATTAAGCTATTTTTGTGTTCCTGGCAGAGGTGGGGGAGGCACCTACTTTGTTGTGATGTATTAGCTTTTTTTTTTTCTAATGTATTACTGGATTTGATTTGCTGATACTTTGTTAAGAATTTTTGTACCTGTGTTCATGAGAGAGATTTGTTTGTACTTCTCTTTTGTTGAAATACCCAGAATTAGCATCAAAGTTTTGGTGGTCTTAAAAAGAATTGGGAAATATTTCCTTTTTCAGTTCTCTGTATTTGTATAAACTGGTGTTATTTCTTCCTTAAATGTTTGGAAGAATTTGCTAATAAATGTTCTTAGGCCAAGATTTTCTTTGTGGGAAGAATTTCAAATCAGATTTAGTTTCTTTAATAAATATCAGATTCTTCATATTTTGTTTCTTCTGTCAGCTTTGATAGACTGTATTTTTGAGGAATTTGTCCATTTAATATGGATTTTCAAATTTTGTATGTCTATGGCATCTGAAAGGGTACCCCTTGATACTGGTAATTGGATTTCCTTCGATTTCTTTATCAGTCTCAGGATTTTCAATTTATAAATATTTTTAAAGGACCAACCTCTAGCTTTTATTCTTATTCTAGCATAGATTTGTATATAATTTTAGTGATTTCTTCTGTCTATATTATTTCCTTTTATAGCTTTCTTTGGGTTTGATTTGCTGTTGATTTCTAACTTTATAAGGAGGATTGTATAAGATTTAAGTCATCCTTTGCTTCTAATACATTAAATGACCATCTAAGCACTACTTTATCTGCATCCCACAAATTTTTGATATGTTCTATATTCTTATCATTCCATAAAAGTATTTCCTAATTTCCATTTAAATTTCTCCTTTGATCACTCATTATTTAGGAGTGTTTTGTTTAGTTTCAGGCAGCAGGTGATTTTCTAGTTATCTTTTTGTTTTGGGTTTTATCTTCCATTGTTTTCAGAGAACATATTGTGAATTATTTCAATCTCTTGAATTTATTGAGGCTTTCTTTATGACCACCTTATGATGAGTTTGGTAAATAGGCCACGTGCACTTGAAAAGAATGTGAATTCTGATGTTGTTGGGTATGGTGGTGTCCTGTGTATGTCAGATCAAGTTTATTGTATTCTCATCTTACTGATTTTTTTTTTTTTTTTGGTCCGCTTATTCTATCAGCTGAGTGTTAAAGTTTCTAGTAGTCTTCATTTCTGTTTTTGTTTGTGTCATTTTTCTCTTTGTATATTTTGGAGTTTTGTTACTGAATGTATATACATGCTTAGGATTATTTTATCTTCCTATCCAATTGACACTTTTGTCATCGTCATGGTCCATTCAAGCTGCTATAACAAAATACCATGACTGGATGCCTTAAATTGTAAACATTTATAACTCATGGTTCCGGAGGCCAGGAAGTCCAAGATCAGGGTGCTTGCAGATTCCATGTGGAAGGAGCAAGAGGGCTCGCAGGGTTCTGTTTTATAAGGGTACTAGTCCCATTCATAAAGGCTCTACCCTCATGATCTAATCATCTTCCGAAGGCCCAGCCTCTTATTACTATCACATGGAAGATTAGGATTTTAGCATGTGAATTTTGGGGAGACATAAGCATTCAGTCTATAGTAATCAATATACGGTGTCCTTTTTAGTCTCTAATGATTCACTCTCCATTGTGGTCTGAGTTTGCATGGAACACTTTTTCCTTTCCTCATTTCTCCGTCGTCTTACACAGTGTGCCCCAAGTGGTGCCAGCCTGGTTGAGGAGGGCAGCCTTCAGACCTGTGCTTGGTCCGTGGGCTCCAGGTCCAGGTGGGGCCCAGCAGCACTCCTTTCTTCTGCCCCGGCATCCCCGGGGCTTCCTGCCAGTGCCGCTTTGCACAGCCTTTGTTTGAGCCACTTTGTGTCCATATGCCTTTCTTTTTTGCCTTCGCTGGTTTTCTTCCCCTACTCCGGCACAAGTGGGATCTCAGCCCTCAGGCAGTGCACTCCTTAGGGACAGGTCCCCAGTAAATGTGAAGTGTTCTTGTGCCCCACTCCTGGGTATCTTCTTGTTTATGATCTTTCTGTGCCCTTATGTTTATCATCTCACTGTTAGTTTTTCTGTACCATCTAAGTGTTTTATGTTCCTTATACTCCTTGGCTTCTTTTGAGTTGTTGAGGTTACTTTTAAAGATTTGCTCCTTCTATTAACTTATCAATTTTACATTCTTCTACTTTTTTTTTTTTTTTTTGCTGATGCTCTGAGAGCATTAAGTTTATTCTTGACTTATGGTCTAATACAAACTAACTCTCTAAGAGAATATACTTCTCCAACACTGCTAAAACAGTAGAGTAGTTTGACTCCATTTGAATTTTGTCAGGTAGGTTCTCTGCATCTATCTCCCTCCTGCCTTCTAGTTTCTCACCATGTATCTTAGACCTGCATGTATTTTAAACTTCACAGATTTTACAGTTACCATTTTGTACAATTGTTATTAATTTATATTCATCCCCAAATTTACTTTTTCCTTTTTTTTTCCATTTTTTTATCTGCGCTAAGAATTCAGTTTATTCTTTCTTTTAGTGCAGGCCAGCTAATTCACTCAAATTTTGTTGCGTTAAAATGCCTTTACCTTCATTTTTGAAGCATGTTTGCTAATATATAATTTTAGGTCGCAGGAAGTCGTATTAATACAGTTGTCTTCTGGGTTGCATCATTTTTTAATCCCAACTGTAATCTTATTTCTGTCCTTTGAAGGGTCTATTGTCTTTTTTTGCCCCTTTGGCTGCTCTTTAGATTTTCCGTTTATCTTTGGTTCAGTATTTTATCATGCTGTGCCTAAAGATAGCTTTGTTGGAAGTCACCTTGCTTAGAGTTTACTTATTGATATCATTTATCATTTGTGGAAAATTCTTACTCATTATTGCTTTGAATATGGCTTCTTCATCATCCTCTCCTGTTTTTCTAGATATTTATAATTTCACAAACTCTTTTGAGTTTGTCCACATGTTTCTTATGATTTTTCCCTGATGTTCTTTTTTTTTTTTCATTATGCTTTGGTTTGGATATTTATAATGATTTTTCTTCTGGTTCACTAATCATGCCTTCCTTTCCATCCAATATGCTTTTTTAGATACATCCATTGAATTCCTAATTTCAGGCAATATATTTTTCAGTTCCATAATGCCTGTTTTTTTTTAAATCAATTTCAATTCTCTATAGAAAGTCTCCATTTTTAAAAATTACTTTGTCCTTCTTTCCCTTTGTTTCTTGAGCATATTAATCATAGTTATTTAAAGTCCCTGTGTGCTAACTCCGGTATACATCATCTGTGGGTCTTGTGTGTTTTCTCTTGGATATTGGTCATATAGTCTTGTCTCTTTTATGTCTAGTAACTTTTTTGTTACGTGCGGGACATTGTATGTAGAATTCCAGCATTGCTGAATGATTTTATCTTCCACTAGATAGGGTTTTCTCTTTCTACTCTTAGGCAGACAGAGTAGACAACTAATTTCAACTAATCTAATCTAGGTCAGATCTGTGTTGTAGTTTTGGTAAGACCCTATCTCATATTTGCCCAGTTCCTAGGATGTGGCCTTCCAGGTGTTTCAAATTGAGAGTCTGGCAGATATTTGCCTTGTTAGCCCTTGAGAACTTGGGGAGAGTCAGTTTTGCCTTTCAGAGGTTTTCAGCTTAGTCCTTTAGCCTTCTGCCCCATGCAACTTCAAATTTTGGCAAATGTCTTGAGGGAGAGACTGGCCATGTGGTTGAGGCCCCTCAAGTCTCCTAGTTTTGTCACTCCAGCTCCATGTGAACACCAGAATCTCTGCTGGCTTCTCTGTCCCCCAGTAGGGGCCATGCCTGGATTCTCAACCTCTAGATATGCCCAGAATTGGTAAGTGACCCCAGGTGAAAAGTGGCTGTAGGTGTAAAACCATCATGCCCTCCAGGGCTTCCTCCTGGCCTGCTTTGTTTCAAGCCCTTGCCTCTGGTGAGTCCTTGTTTGCTAAAACAAGACTGGGAGGTTTCATTCCTCTTTAGCCTCTCCCACTGGCCATGTGTTTGAGGCCAATTTTATCACTTAACCCCGCACAACCACTAAAAATTTTTCTGGTAACTCTTTCTCCCAGTGGTGAACTTCTGCCTTTGTCCTCTCCTCACATCCTGATCAGAAAATGTCCCAGACACTGAAACACCTGCCAGTCTATCAGCTTACCGCTGATTGAGTCTCCTTCTCTGGACTTCTGGTCCATCTACTGTCCGTTGTTTCTGTACTTTTCTGATGCCTTTTTCAAGTTGTTTTTTACCAGAAACATTGACCTGCAACATTGCTGCTGCATTCTACCTGGAAACAGAAATTGTAATTGTAAATGATTTGAGTGATACATGTTCTACTTAGAAAATACCTAGATAAAATTACTTTTTTGTCTTTGGCTCTCATTTTTTTCTTTCTGTGTTGTTGGTCCTTGTTAGCGAAAACAGAGAAAGATACCTCACCCTATTTTAATGCATTAGTAAATGAAGCATTTACTCTCAGAGCATAGTCTGTTGTTTGGCTTTTTCTTTGTTTTTCCTTGAAGTGTCTTTGTGAACAGAGATAATTAAGCATGGATCATGAGCATTAAATGATCTGTAAATTCAGTGTTTATTGTTGAGTATATTGTTAGGGGAACAATTAATTATCACTATTGATATTGATCAATGTGTCTTATAGAAGAAATGAAGTGACTGTGCTAATTGAGTAATTTTAAGTGGAGGGGAGTTGAGAGAGTTTCTCCAAAGCATAATGACTAATTTATGATATTTAGGTTGCATTGTAAGTCGTCTCATGTTACACTGTAAATCCTTTAGTTGTCTAACCTCATATTTTCATATATATTTTCTTTTGAATATAATGTATTGTCTGTCCCTCAGGTGAGGCAGATGTCTTGAATTTAATTTTTCCTAGTATTTATTTTGTAGCTAATACATGCTTAAAGCCCAAATACAAAGTGTAATAAATGACTGTACTAGAATTCAAAAATATTATTTGCCTGGAAAAATGGCAGAAAGGGGAAACAAGAAAATTATCAAAAAGGTTATTAACTTATTCATTTGTCTTGGAGCATAGAAAGAAAATATAACAAACCTTGAAGTACATACAGTCCTGTTGTGCTCACATTTTGTTATTTAAATCTAATATACTAACTTATCACAAACTCATTTAATATTCTGAAGGTGTTACTTTATTCTAGCTTTAATGTGAAAAGATAAATCATACCTCTCACTTTATATTTAAATAATGAAATAATTCTTTGAAACTGAGAGTATGTAAATGCAAAATGAACTAAGATACTACTACTTTTCAGCCTCATAAAATTTGTAGCTTTCTAGATACATAAAATATTTTTTCCTTATGTATCATGGCTATTTATTGTTTCTGATCGTCTCACCTTGAACACTCTAGTTTTATTTTTTTCTCGCCTTCTACAAAGAACTGTGTTAATGGCAGTATCTTTTTTGAACAGTGAACGGCCTGTTTCATCTTACTATGAAAAAGAGAATGTGGATTATATTCTTCCTATTATGACCCAGCCGTATGATTTTAAACAGTTAAAATCAAGGCTTCCAGAGTGGGAAGAACAAATTATATTTAATGAAAACTTTCCCTATTTGCTTCAAGATTTTGATGAGAGCCCTAAAGTCATCCTGTTCTTTGAGGTATGAATTGAATAGAGTGTAAGTTTTAATTAATATTTTAATAGCGCAAATAATTAAGTTTTTATTTGGGGGCTTCCCAGGCACTAGTGGTAAAGAACCTGCCTGCTAGCACAGGAGACTTAAGAGATCAGAGTTCAATCCCTGGGTCAGGAAGATCCCCTGAAGCAGGACATGGCAACCCACTTCAGTATTCTTGCCTAGAGAATCCCATGGACAGAGGAGCCTGGCAGGCTACAGTCCATGGGGTCACAAAGAGTCAGACACAGGTGAAGAAACTTGGCACACAAACTATTATTTTAGTAGATTTGTAATACAAAAAAGTGCTGTGAAAATTTGAGGACAGCTTGATAATATCCATCAGAAGTCCTTAAAGCTGTTATTCCAACTTTTGGTATTTCTTCTAAAGGATAAATGGCAAGTACTCGAAAATGTGTGTAAGGATATTTATTTAAGCACTGTTTGCAATAGCAGAAATTTTAAGGAATTCAATTCATTTCAGTCACTCAGTCGTGTTCGACTCTGCAACCCCATGAATCGCAGCATGCCAGGAAATAGGTCTCTTCAGTTAACAAGAGGTTTGGTTAAATAAATTATGATTTTTATTAAATTTATGATATTTACATGATATACATATGTATATATTGACTTGAGCTAGCCACTACATATTAAATGAAAAGAGTTTGCAAAATAGTATTGGAATACATAGAACAAGATTTAAATACCTGTAAACTTGATGTTAATGTTTGTCAGCTATGAGTCTAGGTTACAAGTTGTTTTTACTTTGTCATATATTTTTCTTATACTGTCAGTGTTTTTTTCACTGGGAATGTATTACATTGAAGACAAGGTTAAGCATATAAGAAATAGGAATAAATTAGAGTATGTAGTATTTTTTAAGTAGTCTTCTATAGATTTGTTACCTCAACTGACCTTTTGATAAGCACCAGTAGGTTCAAAGTGGTAGTCTCTGACAAGTACCTAGAACATATGTTGTCTCTGTGGCTGGTTGGTTGGAAATCCATGAAGTTTAATACCCAGACAAGATGGAGATATGAAAGAAAATCTTTTGAGAAGCCTAATAAAAACATGTATCTAAAGAGAAAATACCCAACTTAGGAAGTTGATCCCAGGAAGAATCTGCAGATAAGGCCATGAGTTTATTAAACAAACAAGTCTTTGAAGTCTGTGCTCATACATTCAAAAATGAGCAAAGTCTAAGAATTCTATGCCTGGTATATTTTTGCCAGGACTATATTTGAGATAATACTTTGTCTTGAGTTTTAAATAAATCTTAAAAGATTTATTGGTAAAAGGTAAAGTGATCAGAAACAGACCTTACTAACTGGATGAGTTAAAAGTGAGCAGGATGAGATAAAAATATTTTTCTTCTAAGTGAGGGTTTTTAAAATTTTAGTAATATTAGAAAATATTAAATTTTAGATAACCTAATATACTGTGAAATAATTTTTTATGCTTACTTACAGATTCTTGATTTCTTAAGCATGGAAGAAATTAAGAGTAACTCTGAAATTCAAAACCAAGAATGTGGCTTCCGGAAAATCGCCTGGGCATTTCTCAAGGTATGTTTTTCAGATCTTCAAATGTTATGGGTTATTTTTTTTTTTTTCAACTCAGTTTTGTGTCATATAAGGAGTTAGGATAACGAGGTAAGGTTGCTGTGGTGAAGAGGTATTAATTCAAACTCAAATGATGCTCATCCAGATTCTTAGATATTTGTTCAGTGCTTAAATGTGTGCCAGATACACTTTATGCTCTGAGGACCCAGCATTAAAAAAAGACACACACAGCCCTGCCTGCATTTATTCAACTCAACAAATTATTTATTGAACCCTTACTATGTGCCAGCCACTGTTCTATTCCGTGAACAAAGAAGATAAACTCCTTGACCTCATGGCCTTCATATTCTAGCAAGAAAAACAGGCATAAAGCAGTTGATCATAGAGCTTAGCATTTATTATAGTTTTTATGAATACTATCAAGATGATGAAAGCATCTGTGGTATCAGGTAAAGGTCTCCTACAGAAAGGACATTGAACCTGATCATGAGCTGGATGGCAGGAATGAGGAAGAGAGAGTTCTAGGTTGGATGCAGAGTGTGCAAAGACCCTGATGTTGGAAGGAGCAAGGAATACCTTGTTAACCGAAAGAAGGCCACTGAGAATGAAGGACAGAGTTGAGGGAGAAAACGGTGCCTGAAGAGCTTGCTGAGGTAGACAGTGCCTTGATTACACAGGGTCTTTGAGCCCAAGCCGGTGTAGCAACTAGCCACCATTATAGACTTTAAAGAGTAATGGGAAGCCATTTAATGATTTTAAACAAAAGGGTGAAATAATCTGATTTACTTTTTATAAAGCCTACTTTGCTTTATAAAAAATAAATTTATTTTTTATAAAGCCTACTTTGCTGGGTAGAGAATGAATTAGAGAGGTCAGAAATGTAAGTACTGGAAATCAAAGTAGAAAATTCTTGCTGTAGTCTAGGTATAAAATCAACAAAGATGAAATATGTGGATGGATTGATGTTTAAAAAGGGTAAATTTTAATTTCATAATTTTTTAATTCCTGATTTCGAACATAAATTTGAGTTCTGAGAAGTCTTGAGTAATTAACCTGTTTTGTATTATCTTATAAAATTTTTCCATTTGTGCATCCATTAATTCAACAAATATTTACTAAGTATCTGTGAAATGCCAGGCACTCTGTTAAATATAGGGTATTTGTGGATAAATTAGACATTGTCCTGGCCCTCCAGTTCAGTGTCTATGTAAGCCTATTGCCTGTATGATTATGTGCTATGGAGCAGATGCTGTGAAAACCCAGGTGAGACACTTAATCCAGGCTGAAGTTTAGAGGCTTTAGGAGAAGTGCAGTCTGCTTGCTGAATGGCAGCGGATTGACTGTGGTGAGGAAGTCATTAATTCTAGAGTGGTTTTAGAATCTCTCAGTCCATTGTACCTTCTAAAATCTCCCTTCTATAACCTTTTATACCTTTTTCTAGACCCCATCTCATACTGAATCAAATAAATAAAAACAAAAGACCAAAGAGTCCTGTTCACAGAGTGAATGAACATTGCCACCTTGTGGTCTTACTAGAAACTGCTTTCATTACTTTTATGCTACGGTCTGTGCAGAGCTGCCGTATTTACTGTCAGTTGCACTTGGGAAACAGTATATTTCACAACATTTTTATCTTTTAAGTGTTATAGAGATTTTTATTTACTTATTAATGCAATCAGAGGTAAAAGGTACATGATTGTGTGTGTATCCTCTATTATAAACGTATATATCTTTCATTAGACTGTAAGTTTCCAAGTCACTGGCAATTCTTTTTGGCCAATTTGTTGAACATATTTTGGTCTGTATTTTACCAATTCGCTTTGCATTTAATATATTACTCTTGAAATTCTCTGTAATATCATTCCCTACATATGAATGGCACACAGGAAGTGCTCCATGAGTATCTACTGAGGGAATTAATAAATATATGAAAACTGACTTAAAAAAACTCGTCTTCAAGAAAGTGACATGAGTTAGATTACAATGCACATGTTTTAATACCTGTACCATTGGTTCTAGGAATGTCCTAGATAATTATGAAGTTATCATAGTGGTCCAGATGAACCCCAAAGAACTTTGTCCAGATATAAATGAGACTTTATCCTAATTCTCAGGTAGAGGCATTTTTGATTCTCTAAGTACATGTATATGACTCATCTGTTAAACTACAAAATGATAAAGCCTTATTTATTCACACTTCACATTAGATGTTTTGTAATCATAATGGCAGGATTTGGCTGAATCTTAGTTGTTTACTCATACTAAGCAGCATACTTGTATAAACTAAATTGGCTAGTGAATACTAAAACAACTTATGAAAAGTATGATTTAGAATCTGGGGAATAAATAACCTTCTAAAAATTATGTTATTACCTTGTGATAAGCTTTAGGCAGATAGTACAGTTTATGAAAGGAATCATGAGTGCTTAATATTTAATGACTGAACACCTCAATTGCTCAGTTTGAAACTGTTTTTTTATCCCTTTATTTCATAATGTCACCCCTCAGCTTACAACCTCCATTGACTTTACATCCTCTCCTACAGGGATGGGGAAAAGATGAAATGTATTTTTGCTAACTTTTGTTTCTTTGTTGATACCTTGTTCCTGAACACAGTGCAAATCTGGGTTTTGCCTCAGCTAATAAAGCTTCTGTTTGCCAAATTATTGAACATTTTCTAGTTCTTTACCAGTCATATTTATGTGTGTAATTCCATGCTCTTGAAGCTCTTGATACTTTGGTTTTTCTTGACACCATTTTTTCCTGATTTTCTTTATCCTGTTTCTTCGGTTTCCTTCTTGATCTTCCACCTATCTCTTTAGTATCAGTCCTGCTCATGATTTCATCTTTAATCCACTTTTCTTAGACCCACTTTTCCTGCGTATGCTTCAAAATTCAGACATTTCAGCTTGGGTGACCCATAGCTATCTGACTCTGCCAAACTGAACATCCTCCCTAAATCTCTTACTTCTTCCCTATCTGCTGCCTCGTTTGGTAGCACCACCATCTGCCCAGTCTCCCAGCCTTAGAGCTGCCCTATCTGTTTTGGTAGCTACAAGTCGTATGTAGCTGTTTGAATTCAAATTAATGAGCTAAAATCAAATGTAATTAAAATTTGATTTCCACAGTTGCACTAGCCCCACTTCAAGTGCTCAGCAGCCGTAGTGACTAGAGACACTGTATTGCATGGCCCAAGTTGAGAGCGTGCCCGTCATCACAGAAAGTTCTATGTTAAGCATCTTTCTTAGCTCTTCCCTGTTTACTTACCAAGTTGCATGATGAGCAACAGTTATTAAATGTTCCCTGTACCCTGTCCCTTCCTACTCTAGTTTTCCACCTCCATGTTCTGCCTGAACTGCTGCAGAAGCTCTCAGCTGTCTCTACTAATTTGTAAAGGACACAAAGGTTAACAGAGGTATTTTCTACTTAACAGTCACAGTCTAGTGAAAGAGAACCTAATTTTGAGTTGGTGAGATAATTTTTCTCCTAAGAGTGTCCACTTATTTAGCTTAAACATATGTTGTCTTAATAGTTTTTTAAATTGAATAGACCTTTTTAAGAAGGTGGACCAAAACATTTTAAAAACATAATATGGAGCTCTCTTTTAGAATAATTTTGACTTTTTGGAAGTTTAACTATGAAATTTTACCAGTTAAAATACTGATGTTGAACAAATGGGAAATTTGTTTCTGTGTTTAAATAATATGCATTTTAATCTTTGTTGGTATTATTACAGACAGATGTGTGTTGATCACTTTATTTGTACAAAGTAACACCTGCCACAGTAATGTTAATGCTTTACCAATGGTCTGAAGTTGTATAGAGGAAAAGATAGCTCTTAGGATGTCACTTGGATTACCTTGTCAAAATGACCTGAAACTGTGCTTAACCAACTGTGTCAGTGTTCTTTTCTTTTCTTTACAAATATGAGGAATTTCAGCATGCCATATTAATCTTTTCAAAATGAATTTTTGACTGTCTACTGTTGCTTTATTGGGCATCTTTTCAATGAAGGTAACATTTCATTTGAATTCTCATTTTAAGCTTCTAGGAGCCAATGGAAATGTAAACATCAATTCAAAACTTCGCTTGCAACTGTATTACCCACCTACTAAGCCTCGATCCCAGTCAAATGTCGTTGAGGTTTTTGAGTGGTGGTCAAAATGTCCAAGAAATCATTATCCATCAACATTGTATGTAACTGTAAGAGGACTGAAAGTTCCAGAATGTGTAAGTTAATAGCACATGCAAAAAATATATCTTCGGTGGGGGCGATGGTTTCTGTTTCTATACAGATAAAAACTTTAGAATTATTTTAATAGATGTCTGAAATAGAAAGGAAACTTCAGAGATTATGTATTAAGGCTGTAATAGCTGATACTCAAAAGACATTTTAATGAATTTTAAGTCCTAAATATAGATTTTAATTTTAAGAATTTTTAAAAAAATAATGCTGATCTTTAAATATTAAAGATAAAAGAATGACTTAATGTGTGGTGGTGGTTTAGTCACTAAGTCATGTCTGACTCTTGTAACCCCATGGACTGTAGCCCACTAGGCACCTCTGTCCATGGGGTTCTCCAGGCAACAATACTGGAGTGGGTTGCCATTTCCTTCTCCAGGGGATCTTCCCAACCCAGGAATCGAACCCAGGTCTTCTGCATTGCAGGCAGATGACTGCAATGTGGAAACTGACAAATAGGACCAGACAATAAACAGTTCAGGCTTTGCAGGCTATGCAGTCTCTGTTGCAGCCTCTCAGCCTTTCCTTGGAAAGGTGAAAGTAGCTACATAGACATATGTAGATGATAACTAAACAGATGGTTTTGGATGTGTTTGAATAAAACTTTATTTGCAAAAATGTCATTGGCTATATTTAGACCATAGCTTGCAGACCCATGAATTATAGACACATTTTTTACACTATTATTCAAATAATCAACAAGTAATATTTCTACTTCTGTTGTACATAGATTAAAATTATGACTATCTTAGCAAACATTTGTCCTAAAATGAGGTGAAACTTTTGCTTTTGTCTCATTGTCACAAAACATTTCAGGCCATTCTGCATATTCTGTATTGATATTGTAAACTGTGACCACAGTGTTGGTTTTCATTGGTTTGAATGGAATTAAATCTATTTTAAGAAATGGAGGATTTAAAAACATCAGGTCTTTATGTTGTGATCTTAAAGCAGAGATGCCGTAGTACAATGCCAGAGCCATAATATACCATCTGATAGGTATTGGTGAAGAGACAGGAACAAAGGGACAAAGTGACTAAAACTATGTCATTGGAGTTCTGTTTTATCCTTTCCTTCTTTTAAGGCTTTTGGGTTTAGGACTGTAATTTCAAGCAACTGACATTTTATTTAAAGTGATAGTGAAAGTTGCTTCAGTTCACTTCAGTTCAGTCGCTCAGTCATGTCTGACTCTTTGCGACCCCATGAACCGCAGCACACCAGGTCTCCCTGTCCATCACCAACTCCCAGAATCCACCTAAACCCATGTTCATCGAGTTGGTGATGCCATCCAACTATCTCATCCCCTGTCGTCCCCTTCTCCTCCTGCCCCCAAATCTTTCCCAGCATCAGGGTTAGTCGTGTCCAGCTCTTTGGGAACCCATGGACTATACAGCCCATGGAATTCTCCAGGCCAGAGTACTGGAGTGGGTAGACCTTCCCTTCTCCAGGGGATATTCCCAACCCAGGGATCGAACCCAGGTCTCCCATATTGCAGGTGGATTCTTTACCAGCTGAGCCACAAGGGAAGCCCGAGAATACTGGAGTGGGTAGCCTACCCCTTCTCCAGCGGACCTTCCCGACCCAGGAATCAAACCAGGGTCTCCTGCATTGCAGGTGGATTCTTTACCAACTGAGCTATTAGAGAAGAAGCCCATTCATCTTATTTTATTTAAATGGTGTACAAATAAAAGTAGAATTTTTTTTCTGGGTTACATTTTCAAACATTTTCATAGTATACTGTTTATTTCAATATTTTCAAAGCCATATATGCTAGAAAAGAGAAAAAGATTAACATGATACATACATTTTCTCATTTTCTGTACATACTTAGGTAAAGCCATCTTACCGTTCTGTGATGGCTCTTCAGGAAGAAAAGGGGAAACCAGTGTACCATGAGCGACACCATGAGCCAAGTTCAGTGGACGCAGAGCCTGGATTAGAAGATTCAAAGGAAGTGGTGAAGTGGAAACGGTTGCCTGGGCAGGTGAAGTGTTCACTGACACTGGATTCATTTAGATATTTATTTTGAAATGCGCCATCAGCTCCTAGGGTCAGTAGCTTACTACTTAAAACTTTCAGGTTATCCTTGTTTTTAGCCGTGATCTTGTCTGCATATTAATTCATTTGGTAAATAATAATAGAGTGCCTATCGTGTGCATACAGATACTATCTTAACTTCTTTGGGGATATGGAGAGTTTTATTTGTTTGCCAGAGCTGCCATAAGAAAGATCACAGACAGGTTGGCCTAATCAATAGAAATTTGTTTTCTCATAATTCTGAAGGCTGTAAGTCCCAGATTAAGGGTTGCAAGGCTGGTTTGTGCTGAGGCCTTTCCCCTTGGCTGGCAGATGGCTGCCATCTTCCTGCTTCTTCGTGGCCTTTTCTCTGTATGGGTGCTTCCTTAGTGTCTCACCTTCTTGTTAGACTCGGGCTCACCCTAGCAACCTCATTTTAACTTAGTCTGCTCTGGAAAGATCTTGTATCCAAATACTGTTACATTCTGAGGTACTGGGTTTAGAGCTTCAAGGTAGGGATTTGTGGAGACACAGTTCAGCCCATAAATACACAGTTTTCAGATTCGTGAAATTTTTACAGTCCCTGGCTTCTTATTGAATCACGTTTTGATAGAGACAGGTATATGTTATCCTTTTACCAGAAGTTGAGCAGTATTTAAGCTTTCACTAAAATTTTTTGTACTTGGCTATCATATTCTGCGGTGGCAAGAAGCATTACTGGTGAACTTATGCCAGTCTCTTATCTGTTTCCATTTTATAGACTCAGTATATACATAAGAGTGACTATTTTCCTAGACCTTTTCACATTCTGTTTTGCATCATATTTAATTTTCTTTTTGAGGCCAATTTTACAGATACATCTTAAGGTCACTTTTAAATACTTTATACATAATAGTATGGAGAGAATAATACTTAGACTGTGCCCGTGGGGACCTTCACATCATTTTCAGACATGGGAAACAGTTACTTTGCTGTTCACTCTCAGGTATGCTGCAAAGAACTCTTCAGGAAATATAGATATAAAAATAATTGTTTAGATGAGCAGTTCTCAAAGTGTGATTTGGAGACTGCTGGGAGTCCTCTGACCCTTTCAAGGGGTCTGTTGAAGTTAGTCTATTTTCAGAATAAGATCATAATGATTCTAATGATTCTATAGTGATTTAATCTGTCTTTTTGACTTTCATTCTCTCACAAGACTTTCATTCTCTCACGCTGGAGTTTTCCAGAGGCTAAATGATATCTGATATCACAAGTCTAAATGATATCTGATATGCAGAAGCAGTTTTGCTTTTATTAAGCAAATCTAGCTACCTGTTATTAAGCCAGAAATTGAAAAGATTTGCAAAAATATAGAACAGTTCCATTTTATGAAATCTTTTGTGAAAAGAAATTGTTAACATTTAATGGACTTGCTCTGTTATTTTTTAAATTATTAACAAATGGTTTTTTAATTTCTCAGTTTTAATTTCTAATATGATAAATATCTGTAGATATAGCCACATTTGAGGATCCTCAAAAAATTTTTAAGACTGTAAAGCACCCTGAAATGAAAGCAGTTTGAGAATTTCTGATATGTAAATGGTGATCTGGAGTGAGGGTTCACTCAACAGGTTGCTGGAGCCTGCGACAGACTTTAAAGAGTGGCCAGGTTAAGAGTGAGTGAAGAGGACAGAGGAGAGTATTTCATGTTGGGGCAATGTTTTAAATAAATGGGGAAGCACCTGTTGTATTCCTCAGGCACTCAAAGCTTGGTGGGTGGGAAATCTGAGTTTGTTTAAGAGGTCAAGTGGTGGTGATAGAGTAGGCCCACATTCTGAAGTGGCTCAAACGGTGGGTAGCCTAATATTTGATTGTGTGGGACTGAGGAAAAGTGGGAGGTTTCAGGTGAGAAGGAAGTGTGATAACAGTTGTATTTTAGGACAAATTAACAGTTTGTCCCAATGCTGACAATGGCATGTAGTGGACCTTGAAATAAGATACCTCAGAATAAGAGGAAGGTGGCCACTGCAGTCACTGAGGTGTGAGGTGAGAGGGTCCGACCTTGGGGATGAGGAAGGTGGCCACTGCAGTCACTGAGGTGTGAGGTGAGAGGGTCCGACCTTGGGGTGTTGGTGGCAAAAGTGAGGAATGAGACATGAATACGAAAGAAGGAAAGACCTAGTGTGATTGAGTGACTGACAAAGTAGTAAAGAGTGGAGAGCTGAGGATGTTGAGGCCCGTGCTCACTTCGGCAGCACATATACTAAAAAAAAAAAGGACATTGAGGCCCTTTGCTGCTGTTACTAAATGTTCATCACGTGCCTCTTCTGAGTGTAGCATCTAACTCTGGGAATGCAAGTTAAATGATGGTGCTTTTAATGTTTTGGCTTTAGTGATGAGGCACAGTTTTCCTTAACTACACCTCCTCCTCTAAGAGCAGCAGCAAGTGATTATGAAACCTGCTAACTTTTCCTTCAACTTTTGACCTCTTTTTATCTCCCTTTTCTAATCATCTAAATCATCTGGATGGAAAGCTGGTATCTGGTACATTATTGACACCTAATAGATGTCTGTTGAATTTTTCACCTTTCAAGTAGCTGCTCATAATTCTGCCTCTTCATATTGCTGCTAAATTGTGATGCTACTTGTGAGAACCTATTTCCCATCTAGAAAGCAGGTCCTTGAGTCAGTAGTCTTTGACTGAGCTGCGCTTAAGCCTCTGAATAATACTTACTAGCTTTATATGGTACTGGTAGTTACTCACAGGTTCGCTCTGATGAGCATGTGTGTGTGCTCAGCGCTCAGTAGTGTTTGACCCTTTGCCATCCCGTGGACTGTAGCCCGCCACATTTCTCTGTCCATGGGATTTTCCAGGCAAGAATAGTGGAGTGGGAAGCCGTGTCCTAACTCCAGGCCATCTTCCCAACCCAGGGATTAAACCTGCGTCTCCTGTGTCTGCTGCACTGGCAGGCAGATTCTTTATCACTGGGCCACCTGGGAAGCTCATGATGAATATATTCAGAGATACTTGTAATGAAAGTACCACGTTCATGGCATATCATAAGGGCCAAATATACATTTTGAATAGTAAGAAAGAAACACAGGAACTAAGGCTCACCGAAGTTTGAAAGAGGTAGAATTAGGACAAATAAAAGCAAATAGTATTTTCTACAATAGCTATTAATACACAATAAGTTTTGGTTTCATCTGGTAATAAGGAATGAAAACATAAAAATGATGAAGGAATTTTAATAAAAACAGTGAGTGAGAAATCAATAAGAAGTGATTTATTTGTTCCAAAAATACATTTTGGAAGGCTTTACAAATGATGGTTATTTAAGAGAAAAAAGAAAGGATGAATATTTATACATCCTGGACTTCAGCTGGGTCTATATGGCATCTGTAGACTCAGGACAAGTTTATGGTTCCACAAAAATCACTTATTAGTTGCTGTCCTGAAAGAAGGCTGTGACACACATTCCCTTTTGTGGCTGTATGAAAATAATCTGGTAGTGATAGCTTTAGGAGTATCAGATCTTGAAATTTTGTGTTCACCTTTTAGGTGAATAGTGCTAGTTAGGCATGGGTATAAATTCACTCAGTTTTATGGAGAATTGAAACTGATTGTCTGCTTTGAAAGTGAAGTAATTTATTTTGGTTTTCCATCATTCTGCTTACTTGCCTTCTTCCTCCTCTGCCTCACAGTAAAGGGACCTTTTAAAAAACCAGAAACTGCACCAGCTACAGTAATTGAAGTTACCAACTAGCTTTCGTATTTAATGTTTGTTCATCTGTATTCATAAAATGTATGTTTTGCAGGCCTGCCGTATCCCAAACAAGCACCTCTTCTCACTAAATGCAGGAGAGCGAGGATGCTTTTGTCTTGCTTTCTCCCACAATGGAAGAATATTAGCAGCAGCCTGTGCCAGCCGGGATGGGTATCCCATTATTTGTGAGTAATGATCCTATCTGTTTAGTCTAATACTAGACTATGAGAGGATTTTCTTTGTTTTTTAAAATGCATTGAAATCTTAATTTGTCATCCACCCATGCTACTGAATTAAAATAGATTTCCTCAAGTAAAGTCACAATTCTTTTTTAATAATTTACACTATACAGTATATGTCCAGGAATAAAAATGAGGATGATCAAATGAAGGATAATAAATTTTTTAAAATATTCAAGAGGTACTCTTTGTGTATTTTCTATTTTAAGTATAGAAATTGTGCAGCATATAGGATTAATAAATCTCTTGAGGAATTTTAGTCCAATTTTAGTCCTTTGATAATTGTGAGAATTTGATTATGAAAGCCCTCAAATTTGTTATGCGGTAAGACAGTAGAAATTGGCTCAGGAATACCTAGATGAAGAATTTTAGTTATAGTAGATCAGCAGAGAGGCCAAAGACCTACTCTTAAAGTACCTTTAACAAATGGAGAAACCACGTTGACAAGTTATTTCTGTAACACTGGAGATATTTTTTCAGTGGGCATTCATGCTCTTCTAGTCATAAAGGCATGAAATACTTTCCCTTCTTGTTTAATGGTGAAAACCAGCTCATCTCAGCAGGAAGTAGCCAGCTCTTCACAGACGTCTGCCCCGAGCAGTGACATTGAGTTTTCCCCAGCTTCACAGTTTATTATTCTGGAGCTGATTGGCTCTTTTTTTCCACAAGGACTCATAATTGGTTGATTATCAGCTATTAAGTAAATATGAAATAATGTTAGCTTTAGATGTACAAAGTGATCATGTAGTTTGATTATGACTATGCTATTCTGCTGTTGTTAACATTCACTTAAAGCTGTGCATTGGGGGGAAAAAGATTCTTAAGAAAACATACCCCCAGGGTATTATTATTATTTTTTTTTTAATATTAACAATATATTTCCCCCAGGGTATTAATAGTGATTTTTTTTTTTCACTATGCACTGGGCAGTGAAAGAATTATTTTCATTCTGATGTGTATGTTTTTAACATTTCCGGGATAAATATGTGTTACTTCATGCTTTAAGAAAAACTTGAATTTAGATATACTTACTGCTTGAATCTAAAAAAAATTTTTAAAAAAGAAGAATCTTTGTCTTTGGTTTTTGATTATGATGTATCTGCTTGGAATGCGTTCAGCTCGTAGGATGTGCAGATTAATGTTTTTCACAAATTCGGGAGGTTTTTCATCTTTATTTCTTCAAATGTTATTTCTGCCCCTTTCTATTTCTTCTCCTGAGATTCCCATCATTTCTATGTTGGTGCACTTGATGGTTATGCAACAGGTCTCTGCACCTTTGTTCATTTTCCTTCATTTTTTTCTTTCTGCACCTCTAACTACATAATCTTAATTGAACTGTCTTCAAGTTTAGTGATGATTCTGACAGTTCATATCTGCTGTTGAGCCCCTGTAGTGAATTGTTTATTTCAGTCATTGTACTTTTCAACTCTAGAATTTCTACTTGGTCTTTTTTTTTTATAACTTCTATCTATTAATTGCTAAGAAATAATTCTCACACCTTTGTTCTTCAGATGTGGTTTTCTTTAGTTCTTTGAACATACTTTTAAGAAAGGATTTAACTAGGAAACCAGTGTCATTGACAGTTCCTGTTAACTGCTTTTTTTTCCTGTTTGTGGCTATACTTTCCTGTTTTGTGTGTATGTGTGTGTCTCCCTTGAAAACTGAATATTTTAAATATTACAATGTGGCAACTCTGGAAATCCGATTCCCTTACTTACCCACCTCCATCTGCCCAGCTGGGATCTGTTGTTGTTGTTATCTGTGTAGTTATTTTCCTAGTCTTTATTCCTCGTGAGGTGCTACCCCTGGAGTTTTTGCTTTGCTAGCTTAGTGGTCAGCTGATGGTTAGAGAGGGATTTTCAAATATCCTTGAGTAAACAGGCCTCCCTGCCAGTGCCGAAGGGTGCTGTGTGTGTGTGTGTGTGTGTGTGCGCGCGCGCCTGTGTGTTTCTGTGTGTGTTGGGATAGGTTTCCAGTGCTCAAGTAGAGTTTACAGCTTCGCCTTCGCCTTCACTTCCTGTTTGCAGTTTCCCCAGGGCAGTCCCAGTAAGATACAAGGCCGTTCAGGTCTGTCTTGCACAAGTGTGTGCACAGCCTTTCATGTGTACATGTTCTTCTCAGTTCCCTGGAATATACTGGAGCTTTTCAAAGTACCCTGTGGACATCTCATTCTCAGTATTTCCTTTTGAGTTCTTTGGCCAGTCTCTGCTTAGCTCTGCCTGGTATCACTGCCTCAGAGGGCCACACTACTGATTATTTTATGCCCCCAGGCTTAGGACTGTTCGCCCAGAGCAGGCTCAGAGCCAGGTCAGGTAAAGCCAGGCCCTGAGAATGGAGCCTTGCAGGAAGCTGCCCAGCCGTCTCACACTTTTGTCTTGGGGATGGGCTTTGGAGGTCTTTAGGCTTCTTCTGCCCCGTCTCATAGACGCGAGGCTGCTGTTCTTTGTAGCTTCAAGGCTGCTGGTTTTCAGGGCGACTCTGGAGCTTGGGAGAGGAGAATGGGAGCAGGACAACTTAAAGCACCACAGAGCTCACTGTTCTTGCCAATATTCATATGTTTTCCTTTAGTAAAATGTTCCTCAGATTGTTATAAGCCTTTAATTCCCAAAATTTTGAAAAAGCTAATTTTGACAATTTTTTGCCAGTGTTCTCGTTGCTTTTATGGGAGAGTAGATTTTCCAGAGTCTTTATTTTGCTATAGCGGAAGTTCTTCTGTACTTTTTAGTATTTTAAACAGCAGTTGGTTTTACCACTAGGTGGAAGTACAGACTTGGAAGCTGTTCTCTGTTCTTAGAAGGTTTTACTATATACATAGCATAACAATACTACAATGCCTTGTTTATCAGATTAAATCTCTATTAATCCCCCTATCATTTTTAGTATTATAATTTTTCTCTCACAGTAGCAGGGTTTAAGTTTCTCATTGCTTCAAATAGTTAAATTTTCCTTGAAATTTGATTGATTTTTGGATAAAATAATACTTTATTCATAAAAGCCCAAATTACAGAATCTTTGAAGTGAATTGCAATTTAAAAGTTATCTGTTTAATAAGTTGATTATCAAAGGTTATTAGGATTGCTTTGGAAAGAGATCAGAGGGGTGGGGGCAGGGGAAAAATTAAAAAAAAGAGAGATCAGAATAATTGTTAACTGTAGCATATTATAAAATTTTAGGTATTTAAGTTCTTGTATCTAAAGCAATTGAAAACTTACTTTTAAGTAGATTTTGACCTTTTTTCTTACTGAAAATGTCTTTGGTGATAATATTCTTACAGACAGTGGTTACCTTATGTACAAATTATTATAAATGATGAATTTTTATATTATTCAGTTAAGAAACCTCTGTCTGGAAACTTACTAATTTGGGGAATGTTTTCATTAGTGTATGAAATTCCTTCTGGACGTTTCATGAGAGAATTGTGTGGCCACCTCAATCTCATTTACGATCTCTGCTGGTCCAGAGACGATCGTTACATTCTCACTGCGTCGTCTGACGGCACTGCCAGGTCAGTACACTTCAGAAGCGCTCACTGCTCTATGTGCATCTTGTTGTTCGGCCACTAAGTTGTGTCGGACTCTTTGAAACTGCGTGGACTGCAGCATGCCAGGCTTCCCTGTCGCTCAGTATCTCCTGGGTACTCCTGGATGCTCAAACTCAAGCCCACTGAGTCAGTGATGCCATCTAACCATCTCACCCTCTGTGTATGCTGCATGCCCTCCAAGAGAATGTAAATAGAATGTAAAGTGATATAACTGCTCTTAGGCTTCAATTTTGTCTTTCTTATCAAGAGATTGTCATAAATGTGCATCATACAGACTCACTGATTAAGTTATGAAAACTTTTTCCTAAACACATGCTGTTAAATATAATTTCATATATATATATACACAATGTTTCTCTAATCCTCACTGTCTTTAAATGGTCATTTTGTACAGTTTTGATTAATACCTTGAAGTTATTAAACAACTTAGATTATTTTTCCTGGAATACAAGCTATTGATGGCAGGGATTCCATCTGTACTGTTTAGCTGGATCCAGACCAAGACATGGTGCTGCTCAATGCATGATGTAGGGTCAGTAAATGAATATGCATCTTGCATTTTAAGAGTGTAATAGATTTTCAAATATTTGCATTTTTCAGAATGTCAGTCTTAAAATAATTTAACCCCTTGCAATTTAATAAGTAGCAGTATTAGTTGCTCAGTCGTGTCTGACTCTTTGCGACCGCATGGACTATAGCCCACCAGGCTCCTCTGTGCATGGGATTCTCCCAGTAAGAATACTGGAGTGAGTCGCCATGCCTTTCTCCAGGGGATCTTCCCAACTCAGGAGTCAAACCTGGTCTCCTGCAGCATAGGTAGATTCTTTACTGTCTGAGCCACTGGAGAACTAGAAACTTACTATTAATCCCTCTTAACAACATCCTCAATAACCCATCTGGTTTCTTGTTCTTTCAAGCATAACCATTCTGTCTGACGCCAAGCTATGCTAGAGAAAAAGGCAGAACCTTGGTAAGGCCTTATCTATGGATTTGAGAGTCGCAAAATCCATAAGTTCTCATCTCTGCTGAGCAATCCTTTTACTTATGTTTATTTAGCTATTTTTTTCTCATTCCTCTAGCAGCAGATCCAACCAAATCTTACCATGCTTCAAGTTCTTTGCACAATCTTTAGTTCTCTATACAGTCTTCCCACTTTCGTTAAATGACTACCTTCAATTTACAGTGTAATTTAACCAGACATGAAATTCCTATATTTCTCTCTGGCTTACCACCTAATATCCATAAATTTGGGCTTCCCAGGTGGTAAAAAGCCCACCTGCCAATGCAAGAGATATAAGGGGTGCGGGTTCAATCCCTGGTTCGGGAAGATCCCCTGAGGAAGGGAATGGCGACTCACTCCAGTATTCTGGCCTGGAAAATCCCATGGACAAAGGAGCCTGGCAAGCTACCAGTCCATAGTGTTGTAAAGAGTTGGACATAATTGAAGCGACTTAGCACGCACATTCATAAATTTACCCTTGTGTATCTCTATTCATCTCTGTTAACAAAGAGATATGGGTCCCCAAGATCCTTTATTCAGTGTCTTCTGTGGTTTGGTGTGCTTATCCTGCTCTCCCTCATCTTCCTCGGCTTTGAATCTCACTTGTATGCTAATAACTTTGAGCTCCTTCTCTTTTTCAAATTCAGCTACTAACACACTTCTGCCTGGATTGCCCAGTGGTACCGCAAATCCAAATCTGAAATCACCAAATTTTGTTTTCTGTTTTTAACCTTCATATAGTTTTTGTTTTGTTTTGTTCTTTTTTTTTAATTTAAATATTTAAAAAAATTTACTATGTTGTATTGGTTTCTACCATACAAATCAGCCATAATTATACATACATCCCCTCCTTCCTTAGCTTCCCTCCCCTCCCCGATCCCATCCCCCCAGGTCATCACAGAGCAGCAGACTGGGCTCCCTGTGCTACAGAGCAACTTCTCAGCAGCTATGCATCTGCACCTGATGGTGTATCTATGTTGATGCTACTTGTTCTCTCTCCCTCTCCACCGTGGCCACAAGTCCATTCTCTGCATCTCCAGATTTTTAAGTGCATCTCCTTATCTACCCTGCCTCCCAAGCTGGGAACTCAGAGTAGGACTCATCTTTCTTTTTCTCATCTAAGTAGTTCTGAACTGTATCAATTCTCCCTCCTAAAAGGCTCCCATTCTATCACATTCCTTCTGTCTTCACTGCTGTTGCCTTAATTCAAGCCCTTGTTATCTTTTTGCTTCAACTGTTGCTGCTAAGCTTTGCCAGTGTTCACCCTCTAGCTCCTCCACCCCTGCTATGCAAAAGGCCTTTCCAAAACCATCTTTCATAATGTCTTGACTTTAAAAAGTCTTTGATTGCCACTGCTGTTTGAAAAATGTGCTGGTTCCTTAGCATGGCATGACAAGCATGGCCCTCACTGACCTCCCATTTTCTCGTGTGCACTTGCCACAGTACACTCTGCCTCTCGCACAAACTTCTGAAATGCCCTTAACATCTCATCTTCTTTGGTATCTCCCTGTTACCTTATTGCCTCTTCCTATGCTTCCCGCGCTTCTCCTCCCCTTCCTGCCCAACTCATTCACCCAACAAACATCTAAGTGCCTGTGCTAAGCCAGGATAGTCATCACTTAAGACCCAGCTCAGATTTTACGCCCCCCCCCTTTTTTTTTAAATTTTACCATTTTTTGAGGTCAACTTGGATTTCCTCACACAACATATGCTGTATAAAGTATACTTTTTCCTTTGTGTAGCTTTGGAGTTGATCCTCATTTAGGACTGTTTGCATCCTAAAAATACTACTGTGAAGGGTTAACAGTGAAAAGAGAATCACTGTGGCTAGAAATAAAAAGATAGTGGGATTTTGAAAGAGATAAGGAATGCTTACAGTGAATGAACTAAAGTCAAAAGGGAAAGAACCAGAGTTGCTAATGCTCCCAAGTGGCAAGAAGTTGGGTTTTTGTCCAGGTCTTCTGTCTTTCCTTGAGATCACCATCACCTGTTACTGTTAGCATCCTCTGAGTAACTGTTTTCCACTGGTTAGCTCTCTGCTAAATGGGTTTAATGTAAATCTCTGTCTTTAGTTAATTTCAGTAAAATTTGAGGAAAAAAAGATCAGCAGCTCCCAATATAATCAGAAAAGCTTGTCCATGTGTAATGGCTCCCAAATATACCAATATGTTCTCACTCCATCCTCTCTTCACAACTACTGTTTTAACTTTGGTATATTCTTTTCTTTCCAAATTCAAATAATTTTTTGTATGTTCATCTAGTCTTTACAGATTTGTGTATAAATGTTCTCTGCTATGATCAGTCTGATTTTTTTTCCCACAAACCCAGTAATACATTTCTTTTGATCTTAGATTCTACCATTGCTTGCTTGACTAAAGCCGTCACTGATACCAGTTCAGCATTTATATAAAAAGCTTCATTTTTGTGTTAAAATATTGTCTATTCGAATTATGTTGAGCTCTTTTTACAATACACTTGTCATTTCTTCTCATTATATAGTATTTCAGATGATGCTGTTAAGATTTATTAGCATGCAACTGAAGTTTTACTTTCAGCATTCCCCTTAATATTCCCTCAGAATTAGTGGTTTTTTCCCCCAGTAAGTACTGTATTTCGTGTTTACATGAGTTCATTGAAAGTTTCATGACGGTAAAAATGTTTATGCAGTGACACATGTGTTTCACTTTTACTTGAAAACATAGTCTTTCACTTCCTTCATTACTAGTTTGGATTCTTAGTAGCTGAAGATCATATCCTGTATTTTTAAGCAGCTGGTGAGAAAGCTTATAGAATGTTATTCTTGAATAGCAACTGTATTTTTTCTTCTATAGATAATTTTGAAAAAAACTCAATTTGCTTCATTTCTTAGTAATAAAAAGGATAAGCTATAAATCCCCATATTAAAAAATAAATTCTTCTAATTCTGATAACCTAAGTTTTTAAAAATCGAGTGCTTTACACTTGTAAAGCACGTGTTTGTTCCTAGATTTTGCCTGTTTTTACACATTGACTTGCAGAGTATCTAACCTGATAGTTTAACTCTTAGGGTTTACTTTTGTCAAGACTATAGCAATAGCAATATTATTTTCTTTTAAATCACCTATTATATAAAGGCAGAGATAATGAATATTAAAGTGAGTACTCAATGTTAGATAACCTGTTTCCTATAAAATATTGTAATTATTTTAATGTCATTTTGTTCAAGTACTTATATAGTAATTTGAAAGTGGCTTCTAAGTCTTTGAGATCTTTATGTTAATTATGCTTTGAAATTACAAATAAAAAGTTAATGGAGTACACTCTAGTCCTCAACTACAAGTCCTCAACTGTAAGTACTTTGGAAAAGCAATATACACAACCTAAATGGGAAATCATTGAAATTTCTTCCTCTATTTTATTTTTTACTTATATTTTATTAAATGCAATATTTTACCAACTCTGCATTGTATTTAATCAATGTCAAGAATAGGTTGGTTTAAAAAATATACAGACATATGCAAGTACAGTTTTTTATTTTGCGGTATAGATTGCAATTAGTAGATGAATTAACATAATGCTTGAAAATAACTAAGAAATAGCTTTGTCAAAATGTAAAGAAGTCTGGTCATCAAATGTGATCATATTATTTTTATTGTTATAAAATTTACCATTGGTTGTTGTTACTTGCTTACTCATTAAGTCCATTGCCTATATTGGTTCTTAGAGAAATATCTGCCTTTCAGAAGCAATATGTAACATTTTTATCCTTTTCCAGGATATGGAAAAATGAAATAAGCAATACAAATACTTTCAGAGTTTTACCTCATCCTTCTTTTGTTTACACGGCTAAATTCCACCCAGCTGTAAGAGAGCTGGTGGTGACAGGATGCTATGATTCTGTCATACGTATATGGAAAGTTGATATGAGAGAGGATCCTGCCATATTGATCCAACAGTTTGACACTCACAAGAGTTTCATCAACTCTCTCTGTTTTGATATTGAAGGTATGTCTGAAATTATATTCAAATTGAAGGCTAGTTATGTGAAGAATTTTTTAAAAATTTTGTTTCACTAGGATAATTATTTCAGCTTGAGAGGGGCTTAATGTATTAGATAAAATTAAATTTGTTTGTGCGTATTTAGACTGTTTGTGCAGATCATATGATAGACCTGGTCATAAATTTGGTGCTGCAGTAGTTGTTAGTTAATTTTAAAGTCAGTACATTTCTAAACATTTTGATTCAACTAATCTTTGCTGTAACAACCCGTCCTGTTCCAAATTTCTGAACATATTTCATTGGATTGGTGATTGTTCCCTTAGTAGGTTTCTTAAAGGACCCTTTTCTGTAAATGGCAAAACTGAGGAAGATGGGGGAAAAGATCCCAGAACAATGTTGAAAATATGTGTTTAAAATGTGGCAACAAGATTTTTTTAAGTACCTAAACATATGTTTATGGAAGGGAAATTTGCAATTGTTTAAGGTTTAATATTAGAATATGAGTATTATTAATGGTGTTTTAAGGATATAAAATATTTTATCAGCTGAAAGACTAAAATTTGTTGTATCTATTTATAGTCACCTTTTCTATTATTTCAGATACTAGGTTTATATAGCTGTAATTAATTAGTATGGGATCATATCAAAATAATAATATTTCTAATGTACTCAGTTTGACCATAAGGATGTTTATAAGTAGGAATCCCTTCAGGAAAGGTCAACCAAGGATAGAAAGGCATCTGAAAACTTGTCATAGAAGAAGTAGCTCAGATTATAAAAGGGAGATGAATAATTTCTTCAGGTATTTGCCTAAGGTGTGAAAAAAGTTAAGTCTTTCTGTGTTGCTCCAGTATATAGAAATAGAGCCAATGCTACAGAAAAGCTACAGATTTTTCTCTGCTTAGAATTAGAAAGAACATTCTCACACACAGGGCATTTCATCAGTTGAATAAGCTAATTGTTAATACTTTTGTGTAAAATATTCCATTCACAGTTGCTGAACAGCCATCTTTTCGTATGGTTTCTAAAATATTCCTAATTGTTTATGAAGTTGAATCTGATGACCTTTGAAGTCCCATTTAACTGTAGGATGGTTTGACTTTTAGAATTGATGTTAAACTGGAACACCTGTTATTTATTATTGCGTTCCTACCTCTCAGGTATTATTCTAACAGTATATATTAGAGTACAGGTGTTTCTCCAGGAATATGAAATGGATTGTATAGGTTAACAAAAGTGAGCAGTACAGATCATATTGGAAAATTCAAATAATTTGTTTTGCGTTGGAATTTGAGCCATGTACACATGAACTGAGATGCTCATTTCATTTTGTTTTCAAATTCAGATAGGTGACAAAAGAAAATAAATCACAAGTAACTCAAAAGGGTGAAGAAAATTGGGATCTGATTGTTTGCCTTTGGGGCTTTTTTTAAACTACAGTACCTTTTAATAGCACTTCAATTTTTGTTTTTTTTTAAATTGGGATGTGTTTGCCCAATTTCATACATAGTTGTTTCAGCTTCTGTGTAACATTTATACCTGAGTAATTTTGTTCTTTTAAATAGGTCACCATATGTATTCAGGAGATTGCACTGGGGTGATTGTTGTCTGGAATACGCCTGTCAAAGCCGACGATGTACAACGCTCAGTGCGTCACTGGGGCATTAACAAGGTGGAGTTTCACTTCGTACTTGGGGATTTATTTGAAAAAATTGGGGAAAATCACATGACTTAAAGATGCAGGACATTCTGTTCACTCTTTTCAAAGGAATTAAATTTTTCTCAGTCCCTCGAAAGTCAGTTATCATGTCTTCCTGATAGCTAATTGATAACATAGTGATTTAGTGAAAATTTTCTTCATTTTGGCTGGGCTTTCCTTTCCATTTTTGAGCCCTAAATTGCACTCTGGTATTCAGGGATCCATTGCTAAAATTTACGCAAAATGAGGTATATGTTATGTTATCATCTATACATAACAACTTATATTTTCTGCTATTCATATTCTTTTTTTTCTTGGTCCAATAGCATCTCTAAAAATGCCATGCTCAAGGTTTTGTTAACAGCGCTATCTCTCAAAATTGTGTGATCAAGATTATGTATTAATAAATATGAGGAGGTCTGTCATTTAATCACAGTATGTTTCATTTGAAATATACAAAATTGGCCAAAACAAATGAGTAATCTCATTTTTGAAGTAGAGTGTTTTTAAGATGGCTTGTATACCAAGCAACTTTGTTGGTGTATATTTAGTATGTTTTAGTTAAAAATACAAAACAAGTCATTAAATGAGTTAATTTTATATATATATTAATATATATGTATCTCATATATGTAAATATGCTATACCTGTGTTTTTCGGTTTTCTTGTTCTTCATAATAGATTGTAATAGTTATCCCTATTCTAAGAAAGACACGTGAAAAAGAATTTCCATCAACTTTAGTTAAATCTGTTGAGTCTGTCAGATCAATTTAAAAACCAGTCTATTCTATTTTTATTCATTCTTATCTAGTCTGTCAGATTAATGAATGATGATGACTTGGGATTCATGTTGTAGCAATTTCATACACTTTGCAAAGAACTTCCTAATTACTTATATATTGACAAGTGATTGGCAAGGCTCCAAAGGCCACATTTCTGGTCATTTGATTCTGCAATGCCGAGTCTATTGTTTATATTAAAAATCATGTGTTTTCTTTCCCTCTGTGTGGTAACCAAAAGGCAAATATATCTTGGAAATCTGCCACCTGGTGGTTACTTGAGACAGTCAAACATAGAAAGTGAGGAAATTAGGGATGGGATGTCCTTTTAACAGCTTATGCCTGGGACAGACGGAGACTATGATTTCTTGCTTGGTTCTCTTCCGCCAATGGAGTGGAGAATGCTGGCTTATGCTCATCTGTCCCTTAAGATGAAGCGTCCATGTGCTGTTTCACATACTCCTTGGTATAGAGCGTGGTCTTTAACACCATTGAATATGATAAGAATATGAAGGAAATCATTAACAGATGCTACAAACACTAAATCTGCCAGCTCTTTTCTCAAATTTATTCCTAACACTTAATGCAGCCTTGTTTTTGATTTTGCACATTTGCATCTGTGTAAATGTTGCTCCAATTGCTCAAACCTTCAGCAGTGCTTCTTCACGTCTAAATCATTGTAGTTGGGCTCAGTAAAACCCCCATCTGTGGTGTCAGTGTTTGACTTTATTCTGGAACTTGTAAAAAAGTAGTTGACAGCAGGTTTCAGCTCCAAACAGCAGAACCAGGGGTTCTAGTGCTGATATTAGGATTATAGCAGTTTGTACCCCACCTCTATTGGTGCCAACCCACCTCTGAAGAAGAGACCTGCTAGGAGAAGTGAGCGAAATAATAAGGGGACCTCAAGGGAGAAGAATGCTGTTCAGAATTCTGACTGCAGGGTAAAGCAGACCTTCTCTTGACTCTTCAGACTTCAAACAGTTTTGTATTTGCAGTTGTTTCTTTCTGCTGGTAATCCAAACAAGCAGGGTTTTGGAAATCGTCCTTATTTACATATGGCTTGTTCAGGCAGATTCTCCTTCAGTGTTTGTGTCTTTCTTGACATCAGCAGTCAGGTCTACTTATAGACTTCTTCTGTAACCAGAAGATTTAGCTGCTTTAAGTATCCAGAAAAACCTAAAATTACAATCTAAACTAAATTGTTTCATAATAAGATGCTGATAACTTATCTTTTTCAGGACAACTGGAGGTAAATGTATGAAGAAATAATCTGAAACTGAAATAGAACTGAGAGATCATTCTATACTTAATTTTGAACGTAGAAATTGAGGTGTCTTGTATGATGATAAACAGACAATGTAGTAATAAAAGATGTGTTTTCAGAAAGTGCTTCTTATTTGGGAATATACTACCAACTAATTCAATTAGTGTTAGAAACACTAATTAAATATAGTGTTACTTAGCAGCCCCAAACTACATTTTATCAGCTTTATTTTCATCCTTAACTTGAACTTGAAATAATTTTGCTAACAATTTTAAAACATCTTGCATTGTGCAATTAAAAATGACCTCTTAAAATTAAATGTGTGTACTTAAAAGGGCTTAACTTTAGACAGATTTTGTAGTTGTAATATTGCATAATCTTTTTAAACTCATTTTAGGAAATTAAAGAGAGTGAGTTTAAGGGAATCCCGATAAGTTACTTGGAGGTTCATCCCAATGGAAAACGTTTATTAATTCATACCAAAGACAGTACTTTGAGAATTATGGATCTCCGAATGTAAGTATATTTCAGTATTTTGCAGGTTAAACACTCATAGAATAAGTAATGATCTAATTCATATTTGTACAATGTCGCTGTGGTTCTCAACTAGAGAATTTTGTCCCTCGGGGGACCTCTGGCAGAGTCTAGAGAAACTTAAATGTTTATTCCAGTATCTAGTGGATTGTTACTGTTACTCAGTGGTGTCTGACTCTTTGTGACCCCAGGGACTGTAGCCTGCCAGGCTTCTCTGTCCCTGGAATTATCCCAGCAGGACTGATGGAGTGGGTTGTCATTTCCTCCTCCAGAGGATCATCCCTACCCAAGAAATGAACCCGTGTCTCCTGCTGCTCCTGCCTTGGCAGGTAGATTCTTTACCACTGAGCCACCTGGAAAGTGGATACAGACCAGTGGATAGAGACTGGAGATGATGAGCATCCTGCAGCACATCCCCTACAACAATTATCTAACCACAAATGTGAATAGTTTTGAAGCTGAGATGTAGTCAACTGCTTTTTATTTTCACAATAAAAAAGGAGAAACTTCTGCCATGGACTTTTATCTCTGTGATATTGGTTTAGCATAGCAGTATGATCTAATATCACGCCTGAATGAGAGGGCTTTTGACTAGCATGACACTGGCATGGATGCTGTGGGAGAATGATAGGCAGAATTGGTTCATCGGGAGTTTAGAATGTAGTTGTACTCCCTCCAAAATAACTTGTGAAACACTTAATTAGCCTACAGTGTGACATCTTCAAGGGCTGTTATAGAATCTGCTGCTCTTTTTTCTTTCTATATATCATATCCAACATCATACCTGGAAGGTAGCAAGTACTCTATAAGTATCTTTTAATGAATATAAATATATAATAAAAGGATTATATTTTTCATGGCAACCGTGAAGCCGAATAGCTATAATAAAGCCTTCTGTTCAAGGCTGTGGAGAGTCTGGTCTTTGAGCTCAGTCTTGAAGGGTGGATAGAATTTAGATAACATGGCAGTGTCCTCTCTAGGGTGGAAAGCCTGGAATAAAGTCAGGATGTGGGATAATAGAAGTTGTGTTCAAGGCAGAGTGAGTTAGTCCAAATGAGCTTTAGTTTCTTGCTGAGGAATGCTGAGAGACTAATCAAATAGAGATTTGAGCCAGATTTTAGAAGTCCCGGCCTGCAGAGTTTAGTTGTTCTCTTTTTAAGTGGTATAGTATTCAGCCCATGATCATACTTGGGCTTTGGAAGAAAACTGCTTATATTCGAATACTGCCTGTTCCACCCCTTAAACTAACTGATTAGTCTCCCTGTACCTCTCTTTCCTCCTCACACAAATGGAAGAGTGCTACACCACCCTCATAAGTGTTTTGTGAGGAATAAACTAGTTTATACATATAAAGTATTAGGTTGGCCAAAAAGTTCATTTGGGTTTTTCCATAACACCTTACAGAGAAACCCTGACGAACTTTCTGACCAACCCAATACTTAAATTAACAGAAATAGCAGAAGTTTTGGCCCAGTAACCTTGGGTTTAGGAATTTATGTTAAGAAAATAATTGTGAAACTGTGCAATACACACACACACAAAAGATTGTTCATAGAAATCATATTCATGCTAGGGGAAACATGTTGGATAACTCTTAGGATGCTGGAAATATCCTGAGAGTTACCCAACAACAGAAAATTTCTGAAGATACATTTAGACAATGATATAATATATGCCTATTAAAATGATAATGCGTAATTTTTATTTCCTGACATGAAAGGCCATTATTCATGGTCCATTGTTGACTGAAAAAAGCAAATAACAGAGCCGTATATGCAATATCCTCTCTGTAAACCAGTGATTATACAGTACCTGTGCTGTGCTAGGCTGTCACTCAGTCACGTCCGACTCTTTGCAACCCCATGGACTGTAACTTGCCAGGCTCCTCTGTCCATGGGATTCTCCAGGCAAGAATACTGGAGTGGGTTGCCATGCCCTCCTCCAGGGGATCTTCCCAACCCAGGGATCGAACCCAGATCTCCCGCATTGCAGGCAGATTCTTGACCATCTGGGCCGCCTGGCTCATAATAAGCACTGAAAATGTTAGCTGTTGTTATTATTCACACATTTAAAAGCCCAAAAGGTCACATGTCATATTTAATAGATGATTCAACAATGGTTTTTCTAATATTTCTGCAGTAATCAAGTATTCACTGATTTAAAAAATTTTTCACGTGGAAAAAATATAAGAATATAAAAATCCTGTTCATTTTTGAGTAACCAATTCAAATGCATCTTCTTTGCTCCGTCTCTTATCCAAATCTGCAAAGGACTTTTTCTGTTCTTCTTTTGTGGCACTTTCTACATCCACTTTCTATTCTCCTTTGATGCGTTTCTTCTCTCTCCTGCTAATTTACAAGCTCTCTGAGCTCTGGAACTCCCTCTCGTTTGTTCTCTATCCATCATGGAATGTATCCTGTGTGACAGATGCTCACAAGTTGCTTGTCAAATGCAAATGAAGTATTGAAAAGTTTTTCTACCACCAGTCACTGAAATGGGTAAGACAAGTTACATTTATAAAATCTTTTTTGGTTTCTAGATTAGCAGCAAGGAAATTTGTAGGTGCAGCAAATTATCGAGAGAAGATTCACAGCACTTTGACACCATGTGGGACCTTTCTCTTTGCTGGAAGTGAGGATGGTATAGTATATGTTTGGAACCCAGAAACAGGTAAATAGCATTTCATTGAACTTTAAAAAGATTTGTTTTGTTTTTGATGAAGTATAAAAACTGCCGTTTTATGTAATAATTTTCAAGGAAATTTTTATTTTAAGGTTTCAGTTATGTTTTTCAGGATTGGAAAGCTGATAATGAAATTCAGCTATAGTCCGAATCTTATTAATTCTGTTCTTTATGGTTTTGATATCTTCATGGATTTAGAATTTCACATTATAACTTAAGGTTTATTCTTTCCTTGCTGGCAATGAGATATTGATCTCGCAGAAGTATTTAATGGGGACTGTGATACAAAATTCAGTTATGAACTGAATGTAGAGTTCAGCTAGGTATACAAATGGTTAACCATCTACAGTACATTTTTATTAGAAACAAACATATTCTGTCAAGAGTTTTGGATATTTGAAACTTAATAGCCATTTACCGGAATTACTATAATTCAACTTTTTCAATAAAATAAACTGTTACATTGGATAGTTCATTTGTGCTTCACTTGCTTTTTTAAAAGAAAAGCCAAAACTACATAAACATTTGTTTAGCAATAGAAAGAATTTCATAAAATTTACTTTAAAATTTCTTTAATGAGCAGTATTTGACTTCATCTTTTTTATTTTCATCTCTCCCTTTAGGCATTTTTGACTAATCAGTTCACTTAGGATTTTTTTTTTCTTCTTTGCTTTTTGAGTAGTCATTAATAGTATGACTTCTGCTGCTGCTGCTAAGTCGCTTCAGTCGTGTCCGACTCTGTGTGACCCCATAGACGGCAGCCCACCAGGCTCCCCTGTCCCTGGGATTCTCCAGGCAAGAACGCTGGAGTGGGTTGCCATTTCCTCCTCCAGTGCATGAAAGTGAAGTCGCTCAGTCATGTCTGACTCCTAGCGACCCCATGGATTGCAGCCTACCAGGCTCCTCTGTCCATGGGATTTTCCAGGCAAGAGCACTGGAGTGGGGTGCCATTGCCTTCTCCGCATTAATAGTGTGTGTGTGTGTGTTTATATTTAAAGCAAATGGTACATCAAACTGCCTCTGGAAAAAAAAAATAGAAATATTAACTCCTCATTAAACATCCCCAACCAGAGAGTTTCTTCAGTTTTAGTCCTGATTTTCCTCCCATAGTTCTCCCTGGAGTTGTTTGTTAGTTGGCATTTGCTCAGCTCTGTCAGATCTCAGATCTCTACAGATCTCTACTTCCAAGCTTTTTGTCTTTAGTTTGTGCCTTGAAACTCCATCAAGACATTGGATCAAAAAGAAGAAAAAGGAGGGCCAAGAGAATGAAAAATAATTGTTTAATATAGTGGTTGCAAAAGAGTCGGACATGACTTACCAACTAAACAACAGCTCAACTATAAGTATTTAAGGTTTCCCTGTAAATAACATGAGATTTATTATGACTTACCTTAAATCTTTTTTTTGATAAGTTGCAGAATAATCTTCTGATGAGAAATATCTGAGATGGTACAAATTATTGAATGTCTTTTCTTATTTAGGAGACCAAGTAGCAATGTATTCTGACCTGCCATTCAAGTCACCAGTTCGAGACATTGCTTATCATCCACTTGAAAATATGGTTGCATTTTGTGCATTTGGGCAGAATGAGCCAATTCTCCTATATATTTATGATTTCCATGGTAAGTCTAATGCTTGATAAGGGGAGAATATTTAGAGTAACCTTTACATTTAGGCTGAATTGGAAATTATGAGCTCTGTGAAAACTGTCATTCTTCGTATTAACAAAACTCTCTTGAATGTATTATGAAGGCCAAGCAGCTTAAAAAAAATCATATTATTATAACATTTTATTTTTTCATGAGCATTTTTATTATGGAATTTAAATATCACCAAAAGTATACATAATGGTTGTGCTCTTGTATTGTAATCATAGAAAGGTAGTCATCACTCTCTTCATAGATCAATTTAAGTACATAAAATTCACCTAAAAACTATTTGGGAGTATCTCTAACTTTAAGAGGTAAATAACATCTAGGATATGTGAATCTGTAATGTTTTTACTTGAGTATTGAGTTAATTTCTTATTCTTTGTTTTTGTTTTTAACTAAAGCACAGTTTAAATGTTATAATTTTCTGAGTTTCTTAACATAAAAAAGAAGGCAAAAAAATCACTTATAGCTGATTGACTTTGTTGTACAACACAACATAGTAAAACAATTATTCTCCAATTAAAAATAAACTTTAAAAAAGGAAGGGGAAAAAGTCAAGCCTCAGCAAAAATGCCTTTTTCTACATTAAAATCGGATTATTCTTTAGTTTTGGAAAATAATAAATAGGCTTTGAATACATTTTTAAGAAATAGTATGGCATTATTAGAATCATTTGGATTTATTGTTTTTCATATATTTCCTTAATTTCTGACCTGAAATTAGGATTTTGTTGTTCTGTGTGGTATTGACAGTGCTGACACTCTCAAAATTACAGTTCCATTTTCTTCATGTGTTAATTCTTATACAAAAATAAATGGTTTTTATAGTCTCTTTAGTTTGTTTAAGATACCACTCACCATTTTTGGTAAGATGATTTACACACAATGTCATAAGTACATAAGTATATAAATATGCATTTAGATAACATTGCTGTGAAACTACTTGGACAGAATGTTTTAAATTAGTGAAATGCAAGTGGTTAAGCTTCCTACATTAACACAGTGTAAATTGGTTAATGTTTGTGATAAGTACTAAGTTGTTAGACAGTTGAATTAAACTGTAAACCTAAAGTTCTTGATCATAGTATGAATCTTATTTCTTTATAGGTGAGTTATATTAGAGAATATATGTTAAATCAAGATTTATCTTGTTTTAAAGAATTTTACAGAGAAGAAATAATGAATTTCTGTAACACATATTCAGATTTATAGAACACCATTACTAATGGTGAATTGTTAAAAACACAATACCATTTACTATTACAATCAATTTAGCAAAAGTCAACACTGCCTGATCACAGGAAAAGACAAGTGGATTTCTCAAATCATCTAGTGTCCAAATTTGTTGTCTAGTTCAAACATAGGTCCTGAGACAGGTCTTTCTTTTATACATTTTTAATCTTCACAGAAAAAAGAAGAGTTTTACCTCATTACTTTGTAATTGGGACTGTTATTCAGGAAATAGGTATACAGTTATTTCCTCAAACTCTTTAGGAGTTTCACAACAGTTTTCATTCAATTTCTAATTTGCTTTTGAAATTTTCACTACAAATGTAATTTCAAGCTCCACCCTTATTTCTTCAGTTTACTTTTTGTCTTTGATATAAGTTCATCTTTGAATTAGGTTTGTCCATTTGTTTTTTCAACAGTAGGTTTTTAGACTAAGGAGTCCATTCTAGAAGCACATGTAGGAAGAGCCAAGTGTTTAAAAGCATTGGTTTTAGGCTCAGTTCTCTTTCTTTGGTGATCTTGCACAAGCCTTCCTGATGATCCAATTTCCCTGTCTAGTGAATGGTCCTACCGTTGTTCAGTCGCTCAGTTGTGTCCAACTCTTTGCGACCCCATGGACTCCCAGCCTTCCCTGTCCTTCACCATCTCCCGGAGCCTGCTCAAACTCATAACCATTGAGTTGGTGATGCCATCCAGCCATCTCATCCTCTGTCGTCCCCTTCTCCTGCCTTCAATCTTTGCCAGCTTCAGGGTCTTTTCCAGTGAGTTGGCTCTTCGCATCAGGTGGCCAGAGTATTGGAGCTTCAGCATCAGTCCTTCCAATGAATATTCAGGGCTGATTTCCTTTAGGATTGACTGATTTGATCTCCTTGCTGTCCAGGGGACTCTCAAGAGTCTTTTCCAGCACCACAGTTTGAAGGCATCAATTCTTCGGTGCTCAGCCTTTTTTATTATCCAGCTCTCACATCTCTACATGACTACTGGAAAAATCATAGCTTTGACTATATGGACCTTTGTAGGCAAAGTAATGTCTCTGCTTTTTAATATGCTGTCTAGGTTTGTCATTGCTTTTCTTTCAAGGTGCAAGTGTCTTTTAATTTCGTGGCTGCAGTCACTGTCCACAATGATTTGGGACTGTGGTCCTGCTACTACTGCTATTACCTGTCCTGCCTCAGAGAGTTATTTGTGAAGATGCCATGAGATAGGAACTGTGAAAGTACTTTGTAAGTTGATAAGCACCATATTAAAACAAAAAAGATAAAGTGGACTGTTATGCTCATCCAACCAGTATACACTTGACTTTATGGGAACTTTTGTTTTCGTATGCTGATAGCATCTCTTTGGAATGAAACTGAAAACAGGGGTTTTTTTTTTCTTTCTTTTCTTCTTTCTGTTAGTCAGCCTTTTCCTTTTGTATCTTTCTAGCTCAATTGTTTTAGAAAATAAATGCATAAAATTAAGAACATCATGTTATTTCCACACTATCTTACTGTAGAGGAGGGATTTCCATGGTGTTTTAGAATTTTAAATGTTCAAATAATACACATATTAAAATTATTTTTGCAGTGTCTGTCAGTTCGTTTTTGATATACTGACTTATCTTTATGAGCAAAACTCAAAAGGCTTCAACGTATTTTCCCAACTCATTGCTGCCTATCTTTAAAAAGAAGCATCTTTGGAAAAAGTTATGTAATCTCAAGCAATTCAAGATTTAGCACAATTCTTATAAATAGTATATAACCATGAAAAAAAGGAAAGTTGTTTCAGACTCTGTTTTACTCATTAAATACAAGCCAGAATCATGAGTCTTTAAATTTTTTCAGTGAAAATTATGGCATTTATTACTGACCTATTATAGTTTTGCCTTATATTTTATTTATCTTTTAACACAGGACTATTTTGCCCAAATTTTCTTGCCTAAAAATGAAGTTTGCATGTAGTTTTACATAAATGTTTTCATGGTATTAAAATTGAAAGATCTAAAACAGTTACATGATTTTTTTAAATAGCATTTATCAGAGCCACTGATACGTTTAGGCAATTTTCAAGGAAAATGGAGCAAGTTCTTTTTTTTTTTAAATCAGCTAAATAAGCTGTGAATGAGACCACAATGGTAGCTAAATGTATCATCCATCTTTCAGTTCTAGCAAAATCTGTGAAGAGTCAGCAAGCATCTTTCCCTGTTAAGCATATGTTCACATTGTGGTCTTCTGGGTCTTTCATTCTACTGACTTTTTGCTTTTTTTGGTAAGAAATATGATTTTTACTTTCAGAAGGCAGTTGTATTTGCCTGATGTTGAAAGAGTTAATCATCTAGTAATACAAAATTTAGTCACAAGGTACCACAAATAATGTACTTTTAGGATTCCCATAATAACAGAGTACTAGTCAGAGAAACGGCTTCTCCTGAATTAAATTTATGAAGCTAGACTTTAGCAATTAGTGTTCTGTTATTAATCAATATTTGCCTACCTCAGAATGTAGGATCCTGTTATACATTTAATGGTAATTACATCTGATACAAAGCATTTTCCATGGGCCTGGAACTATTTTAAACACTATACATGTATTTATTTTAAGTTTTCACAATAATCTTATGAAGTTGGTACCATAATTATCCCTGTTTTTTGGGAACCAGGACTTGGATCCATACAATCTGGACTTGGAATACATGCTTTCATTTGCTACACTAAACTTTTTAGCAGATTTCTTGAAATATTAGCTTTTGATTGTCTAATATGCAGACTTCTTTTTTTGTTCCTACAAAACCATTTATTCTTCATCTTGGTGACTTTTTTTGTATTATCTGTACTTTATGGGAGGTAGAGTTGGAGGCTTATTTGTCTTTTTTTAAGCGGTACCTAGGCAGAATGCTGACACATATTGAATATACATGTAGTATTTTCTGTAGGATCAAGCCTAATTTTCAGTTGTCAGCATTATATAATTAGTGAGGCTAATGATTCGCTAGATGGCAGTGTGTCCCCTGAGTCAGCATTAACTCTGGCCTGCTTTTCTGTCATTGTGTTTGAGACAAAGCAGATCTTTATTGAGCATCTGTTATGTGCCAAGTTTATCAGGGCTGTGAAACCCAGGAATCAGAACCATGTGCTTTTCCGATCTTTTATACTTCCTAAGTGGTTAATTAAACCTCTGGGAGAATTTTAGTGAAACTGAAAAGCAGCCTACTATTGACACTAAACATGAGTTTATGTATAGAATTCATATTTATTAATGATCACCTCTGTTAGTCATTGTTGATAGGTGTATTTTTCACATTGTGACATGCTTTACCAGAGTTCATGTGATATATATCTTTACGTTCCTATAAAATTTTTGTTACAGAACTTGCCCAGTAACTGTTAAGTCCATGGTGTTTGTGTATAAGGTCCTATACCTAACCTGTCATATTACTAATGTGCAGTAAATCCATAGAACAGAATTATCCACCCTTACATTTTATAAAAATAAAGAATGAAAGGCATGATCAATATGATCAGTTAGTAAATTTGGGTCTAATAATAATAGCGGTAGTTGCAGTAGCTAACATTTATCAAGTATTACTGCTATCAAGCATTTATTTGTTTATTAAGTATTCCCTACTCTAATTAGCATTTTACATACATTATCTTTACAGTCTTCCCCAGTCCCCACAAGGTAGATGCCAGCATTATCCTCATTTTGTAGATGATAAAACTGATGCGCAGGGAAATTAACTTGTCTAACGTCACACAGTTGATA